AATGAGGAGGCTTACCGCAGCCTTCGCTCGGAGGTTCTGAGAGCCCTGAGGCGCTGCAAGGATGGGTGGTGGTCGCGGGTTGCTGAGGAGATGAAGTCTGCCTCAGTGGCCCGCGATCACAAATCCCTATTTAACTCCATCAAAAAATAACGTGCAGCGCAACACCTATTACCATCATTAGGGGGAAAAACGGTGATCCAATCTCTGACCCCCAGGAACTGGTTTGCAGATTTTCTGAGCTTTTCTGTGAGGTCCTGGGGGAGGGGAAATCCCTCAGTGAGGAAAACATTGTGGCACAAAGTGGAGATTACCCTGCTGAGGCTGCAGTGCCTCAAATATTGGAAGAAGTCACCCCCTGTGAGTGGCTGGCTGAGGTGCCAACTGTTGAAGAAGTACTGAAGGCGATCCGGAGTCTGAGACCAGAAAAGGGACCGGGCAGAGATGATCTCCAAAGCGAAATGCTGAGGGAGGGTGGCGTTTGTGCACAGACTGCCCTATATGACATCATAACAACAGTCTGGACCACTGGACGGGTTCCGCAGGATTGGAAGGATGCCCTCTGCTCTTGATCATTAAGGACCTTCATGATGGTGAGCAGGCACGGGAAAAACTACGTGGCTGGGAGCCAGAGCCATTCCCTGTACACCTTGGAGTGCAACAGGGTAGTCCTCTGGCTCCCACATTATTTAACATCTATTTTGACCATGTAGTTTGTGAAGCCTTCAGTAGCTGTACTGGGGGAATTTCCATTTGGTACAGATATAATGGGAGGCTGATCGATGCCCGGGTGCGGTCAAGGGATGGCTCCCTATTGCTCAACCACGTTATGTATGCCGATGATTTGGTAATAGCTGCTCATTCAGAGGAGGCGTTTGAGACGCTGCTGCTGAGACTGGAGCGTGCCACTAAGAGGTGGGGCCTTACCATCAGCCCCACCAAAACTAAGCACCTGCCTGGGTATTTTGTACCATCGGGCACTCCACCCCCACAACTCCCAATCAGTGATGGGGCAGTTGTGGAGAGAGTGGAGAGTTTCCCATACTTGGGCAGTTTGCTTATGACCAGCTCCAGTTTAACTGCAGAGGTCTCACTCCAAATCAGTCGAGCGGCAATATATTTTAATCGGTTGCATAACGCTATGTGGAAGCTACCTAGTCTGTCGCTCCGCACTAAGCTTCAGGTCTTCTCGGGCACGGTCATTCCCTCCCTTCTCTACGCTTGCAAAACGAGGACCCCCCTAATGTCACATCTTCGCCGGTTATAAACATTTAGGCTAGCCTGCCTATGATCCATCCTGGGTTTAACCAGGCTGGATTGTGTGAGGAGCTCACAAATCCTTGAAAGATCTGGACAAGGTCCCATCGGTGAGCTCCTCTGGCAGGCAAGGCTGCGTTGGCTGGGTCATGTAGCCCACATGCCCAGCCACCGCATGCCTAAACAGCTTTTGTTCGGCCGGATCGAGGGGGCTAAACGGGTGCGGCATGGGCTAGAGAAAAGATGGAGTGATGTGGTACAGGAGGACGTGGAGCTGAGTGGACTTGCCGATGACTGGTACCAGCGGTGTCAAGATCGGCCTCTGTGGAGGAGGCTCATGAAGAACGCTACTGGGCAGTTGGAGGTAGTCGCCCTCCAACAACAACGGAGGGCGGATGAGCGATGCTCACAACAACGAGCGGAGCACCGGGTGGCTAAAGCACAGCAGGTCAGCACAGTAGGGGGCACAGGTGGTGCATCAGCCAGTCATCTCAGTCATCTCTGTCAGTCGACCCATGGCACTTGGGTCTGCCCCGTGACCTCCTGCTGGCGGGCATTCAACACTTCACGTGGCCTCAAGGTGCACATGGCCTGGCACAAGCGTCGTGGTGACGTCACCGCCACTTAGTGGCGAATGGCGGTTGTTGTTGTGAGAGTGAGGCTTCACGGAGGAGGCTACTTGGTAGTTTGGCTCATCAGGCTGACCTGTAGTCTATGTTATTGAGGGATAATGATATTTTGGCAATGTGAAGATAGGAATTCCAGAGTACGGAACCTCTGCATCTGTAATGCGAGCGTACACTGACGGTCGCCGATCGGTGGGATAGGCTTCGCCGCTTCAGCCTCTAAGCCAATCGGGTGAATGGGATTATCTGGGCCAGAATTCACGGGCGGAGCCCGAGGGTTCCCGTGGGGTACTATCTAGAAGGTTTGTGAGGGGGCGTGGATAGAGGCGGGGCTTGGTGACGCAGAGGGGGGTTAAAAGGGACTCGAGGTCAGTGTGAGTCTAGAAGCGGGACCACGTCTCGCGCCTCCGGCACGCCATCGGCCACGTGGCCGTCCGGAGGTGGTCTCTTTCTGCGCACCGTCTGCCAGCGGTGCGCGGGAGCGGGAAGAGCGAGCGAGCGTGCGCGGATGATAACAACTCACGCCGCGCAACGCGGAGCGACAGTGATAGCGTGGGAGAACGCGGAGCTGTCCAGCGCCGATAAATAAATAAATAAGACACAGTCAGTTGTCGTAGAAGTGCTTTATTACACATCTGACAGAGAATTTACTATTCGTGGTGGGGTAGTGGGGTGGGTGAAGGTTATCGGAGTGTCTTGTGTTGTATGCATGGATTTAGGAATTTACCTGGAATAATACTTTTAAGGGTTCGGTACGATGTCGCGGAGGTCTAAAGGTGCATATTTGGAATATATTAATGTTGTAGATGGACGTGATATTGAGTTTCTTAAATCAATCATAGCATAACAGCATCTGCAGAGTATTAGAATGATGCAAGATAGTCTTGGTCAATATATTTAAGACACTTGAGGTGATTTAAACATTTTAGTAGCTTTGAAAGTGATCTACTCACCATGTGGCCTTGTTGTAAATGATGCACTCTAATGTCATGGTCACATGCTAAAAGGTGATCATGATCCACTGGGGAGATTTTAGGGAAACCGACAACAGCAATGGTTGCTGAAGCATTTCTTATTGTAAACTTAAACGAAAAAATACGTTTAATTTTACCAGGGAAGGCCCACTTAGCTATAAAATTCTTTTTCAGAAGCGACCTCGCCAAAGATGATTGTTCAACGAAGAGGCTTAACATGTGGACATTTATCGCAGCCAAATATTCTAAACGCGTGTTTCTAAATTTGGAGGGAAAGAGCGAAGGACCCGAAAAATGGGGAGAACGTGCAAGCTCTTAACATACAGGCGTCAGGTCGGGATTGAACCCACAATGTCCCGCACACCAGAGGAGGGAGTTAACATCTTGCCACCGCGACACAAGCCCCTGATAATGGGCAAGAGGGACTGCAACTTCTGATCAGGGGGGCTATTGACCTCAACGCTTCATTTGAAGAAATGGCGGCTTCAAGTCTGTGCATCAGTGTGATCTCGACGCGATGTGTTTGCTTCACAGTGACATCTACAGACTGCAAATTAATACATGGCTGAAAATAGCAGAGGCGCATCATTCCCATAATGACCCATTACTTCACACTATCTCGCTACACTATCTCACCGCACAAGGCACGCCACACCATCACCAGCACCCCATCACACCAACCCACACCATCGCTCTACACGATATTATCTCTACACATCATCAACAGCACGCCCCACCATCACACCACACCATATAGTCCCTCCACATCAACACAAAAACTAACACGCCACACCATCACGTCCGGATACCATACCTGGCAACACATACGGTTTAACCCGTATTCTTGTACAGGGAAATTGAGTTTTCAGGTCCATACGGCGTAAAGCCATTTCAATACGGGCACAAAAAGTTTGTGTCTATTTGTTTGTGTTTCTCCCTTGTGATGGGACTTTGTAGGATAAACGTTGAGATGTATAAGGACACGGGGTGACGAATAAGGTCCTAATTGGTCTGTCATAAGATAGGCACTGATAAGCGGTTGATAGGTATGCGATATCATCTCTCCACATTATCAACAGCACGCCACACCATCACACCACGCCATATATAATCCCTCCACATCATCACACAACACCATCACGTCCAGATACCACACAGAATGAAGCTGCAATTTCTAAACTAGGGAGGGCGTTACGCCAGGCAGCCATGCGAACTCTGCCTGTTGATCTGACGTTGCCGTGACAGCTTCCCACCAGGGGGAGCTGCGATCCGATGTGTTCAGATTTGTTGTTGGCGACGAGGCGTCGTTCGCAGTGGGAAACGTCGCGGAAACCATTACCAGTGACGATTGCTGGTGGGCGACCATTGCCCCAGTGGGTGGTGGTGGCCCTTTCACTGCATAGAGTGGTACTGGCCAATGACAGGCCTCGTTCAACCAGTGCACCTCAACGGCACCTTGCTTTCATAGTTCAATGTGTTATATTCATATAATTATTAGACCTTTGTCAATCAACCACAAGCCGTGCCGGTCATTGGCATTGTTTGGTCATGCCACACCACACCAGTCGATGCCGGTTGGTGAAAGGGTATTTCTCAGGATCCATTCGGGATACCACGCGCTACCAATTATAACGGTGACCGGTGTCTGGGGGCACAATGTCAACGTTTTCGCGTTGTCGACATTCACTTTGCACAGGTGGAGCGGCAGCATAGGTTGTGAACCCGGCAACCTGAGTTCCATTTCTGGCCATGTAATACACCTAAAAGCGCGCGATGCAGTGACCGTCTTTAGGATACCAACACGCACTGAATAGCGTGGTGAAGTTTGGTCAAACAGCACCCATGCCTGACACGTCATGGGCAGGGAAGCCTTCATCCAGCGTAGGATTAAAAGGGTTGCTAATTACTATCACACACAGGTAACTGCAAAGAGGCCTAGCACATAGCTATTTTTATTAGTAATAATATTATTCAGTCCACCCTCACGAACAGTGCAACTTTATGGCAGGCAATAAAGAGTCATCGATGACCCTAGTTTATTTCAACCTTTGACGTCACTTGGTGGGGCAAACCCATCTGCTTGCACATTGATGCTGGGGTGTGGGTGCACATAAATAGTTGCAGATGTGCAACCTGATTCCTCAAATAGTGCTCGGACCTTGTGAGCCCATAGATCTTTGACAAAGGTTTGTGAGATGTTTTCTGTGGCTCTGGCCACTCTACTGTGCTCGGCTGTGGGACTGGGTTCAGGGGTGAGGTTGATCGACAATGGCTACGAAGGTCTCGTTATTGCCATCAACCCCGCCGTGCCGGAGGACCCCAAACTCGTCGATGCCATCAAGGTGAACGCTCTTGTGGCTATGTTCCAAATGACATTGCATAAATATATATACAATGTACTCTTTGTGTTCGTAAAATAATCCAAATGTGAGGGCATATCAAGGCGCTCGCCGTTGCAAATGGTTTAAAGTGTTGAATTCTATTATTTTTTTGTTCGAAAAACTTTCAAATTTTGGCTTCACCTGAGTGCATTTCAAAACACGCCATTTTATATAAAAATATATTGCAATACTAAGAATGTTAATTACTTGTACTGTACGCAAAACAATGAATAACAATGTAATGACATGTTTTTACTGTTGCCACAGAGGAAATTCAGATCTTGACATTTTTACCAAAAAAATTGTGTAATTACACATACGGTCTTAACGACCTTAATATAGTAAAATGTATTAAATACTAATAAAAATACTTAAACAAAAATCTAAATGTCATCTCGACATTACGCCGATGACATACATACGAATATATTTTATAAGTATACACATTTTAAAGTACTTCGCATAGTTATTGCTACATTGCAGAGTCGCCATTACTGTCAAAGGATCACATTGTAGTACAAAATTGTTAAACTAAAAATAACGCGTACACTTAATTGACACGTTTGTAAAGCTCTAAGTCGGTCACCATTATGCGAGCAGTGGAGAGAGCCAAAAATGTATGGGCTCAACCTGCATGGACATTTTTTTTATTCTGTACCTAACCATGATGTTATTGGTTATGCTTTTTTTGCAACACCTGAGGTGGTTGTCATGGTGTAATGGTTATCACGCTGGACTTGCAAATACAGAAGTCGCCTATTTGAATTCGATCTCCCAGCGTGGCAGTTGAAACAACGGGGCAAGATTCTTGAACACACCCACCTCTGTCCACTCAGCACTGATGAATTATTTCAAAATTTTGGCAGCTATAAACCACTTCGTTGAGCTATCATTTGTGGCCAGGACGCTTCTGAAAAAGAGCTATATAGCTGAATGAACCGCACCTGGTAAAATATAATATTTAAAATTAATTTGTATATTCTTTTAGTGATTTGCTTACCTTTCCCATACTTTGCACTCCTATTGTCTATTTGTATTATTTGTTTTTGTAACGCTCTGACCCGCCCCAAATGGACGCCTGTGAAAAAGAGCATTATAAGCACATCGGATTCCTCCAGTATAAATAAATGTTCTGATTCTCAAATAAATGGTTACACCGCACTCGATGGGCAGGTTGCATGTGGTGGGGTAAAGTGTCGGTACTCCCACTTCTTCAGCTTGGATGAGTAGGCCAAATACCCTCTCGAGGGACTCTCTAGAGCTCCCTCAAGAGGAGACTATTTTACAGTGGTCCAAGCAAGCGATTGCTGGTTTGCGCCTATAACATTTTACAATATTTGACCAGAAGTCAAAATTTAAATACAGTCACGTTTAAATGATTCCTTGGAAAATGTTTCAGTTTGGTGCTTTAACATCTTAACACCTGTTTTTTTGCCAGAAAAAAGGGGAAACCCCTATTGTTGATTGGCTCTAGCCTTCCAGATATGCTTCTGGGTCAGTATATACGACCCTTGACTTGGGAATGATGGAGGATAAGTGAGTTATAAAGGGAAGGGATCTCAATTTAAACCAGAAATTATTAAATTACATCTTTGACTGAATCTATGAATATAATCTATGACTGCGTTTGAACAATACTTGCTTTTTGAGCAAAACAATGAATGATGCAATCTGACCCTGGTATTGCATCATAAATGATATTAATTGCATCATGTTATTTCGAGAAGTCATGAATGATGCAATCATAACTAGCCTTACATCCCTCTGCTGAACAAATTGCCCTATATCAGCTCTAGAAATCATACAATGTCGTGCTCTCTTATTTGTCAGTGTTTGATTTTGCAATGGGACACATTTCTGTTTATCCAGAGTAAGCAGAAATGCCTCGTACTTGTGTGAACAAAGCAGATAACTTCTGCTATGTTTGTGGTGAAGTGACTTTTGCATCACAAAAACGCAGTATAACCACTATAGTTAATAAAGCCTATCACCTTTATTTTGGCTACAAAATTAGAGATCAGGACAAGATGTGGGCCCCACACATATGCTGCAACACTTGTGCAACAAATCTTCGCCAGTGGTTGAACAGGAAATCTATGCCTTTTGCAGTGCCAATGATTGAGAGAGACAACATATCATATCAGCAATTGTTACTTCTGCATGGCGTCTCCAGTTGGGAAAGGTGTGTCAAAGAAGAAAAAGCGGACTGTGCATTTTCCAACATCAGCTATACACCCAGTACCCTACGGAGAAGGACTGGCGGTTCCTGGTGCAGCAGAATCATTCTCACTTGAGTCAGACGAGGGAGAGGAAGAGGATTAAACTTCTGGTCCTAAACCATCAAGGTCACATGACCCAGATTTTCTCCCATCCTCCTCCTCTGAACCACACCTCATAACACAAGGTGAACTGAAAACCCTTGTCAGGGATTTGGAACTGCCCAAAAGTAAGGCAGAGCTGTTGGGCTCCAGACTGCAGCAGTGGAATCTCCTGGCAGGTGATGTTAGGATTGCCATGTTCCGTGACCGTCAAAAGGATCTTGTCCCATTCTTCTTCATGGAATGTGATCTTGTAGCCTGCAACAACATCGATGGTGTGATGGCAGCCCTCAACACCGTTCATGATCCAGACGAGTGGAGACTGTTCATTGATTCATCGAAGATGAGTCTTGAAGCTATTTTGCTGCATAATGGAAATTTTTGCTATCAATTCCAGTTGGTCATGCAGTCCATATGAAGGAAACCTATGATAACATAAAATAACTTTTGAGGTGTATAAACTATGACCAACATCAGTGGCAGTTTTGTGGCGATTTGAAGGTTGTTGCTCTCTTGCTTGATCTGCAGACTGGATACACAAAGTACTGCTGCTGTTTTCTCTGCGAATGGGATAGTCGTGCGAGAGATTCCCTCTACATCAAGATAGATTGGCCACTCCGACAATCATTGGAGCCTGGGGGGAAAAGTGTTCAGCATCCACCACTTGTTGAATCAAGGAAGATTTTGTTACCACCCTTACACATCAAGCTGGGTCTGATGAAAAACTTTGTCAAAGCCATGGACAAAACACAACCAGCTTTCAAGTACCTCCGTGGAAAATATCCAAGGTTAAGTGAAGCTAAGATGAAGGAAGGTATAATTTTCTTTGGTTCTTTCGGTAAAGTCACGTAGAATGAGAATAAAATAATAAATTGATAAAATAAAATAACACAATAATATTCTCACGACGTTTCGGCCACAACACAAGCGGCCTTCATCAGGTGAAGGTGAAGCGCTCAGCGCTGTCCTACCAGACAGTCTCGTCCCTTCACCTGATGAAGGCCGCTTGTGTTGTGGCCGAAACGTCGTGAGAATATCATTGTGTTATTTTATTTTATCAATTTATTATTTTATTCTCATTCTACGTGACTTTACCGAAAGAACCAAAGAAGATGAATCCTTGCAGTCACGAAAGCTTTAAATCGAAGGTATCATTGTTGGTCCTCAGAATCGTGAACTTCTTCGAGATGATGCATTTGGCAGTGCACTGCGTGGCAAGGAATAGACGGCATGGAAAACCTTGCAGTTAGTGGCAACACATTTTCTCGGAAACAATAAGGCGGACAACTACAGGGAATTGGTGGAAAACCTCCTCAAGGCACACAAAAGCCTTGGTTGCAAAATATCACGAAAGATAGATTTTTTTGCACTCTCATTTAGATTTTTTTTCCCAACGAACTGCGGAGCAGCGAGCGACGAGCATGGCGAGCGATTTCACCAGGGCATTCCAACAATGGAGACACGCTATCAGTGCAAATGGAGCCCATCAATGCTTGCAGACTATTGCTGGACAGTGTCAAGAGATGCTCCATTTAATGAATCCAAGAGACAAGCCAAGAAGCGCCGAATCGACACTCAATGAGGACTAAACTATGTACTTATATATACATAATAGTGTTTTTGCCTTTTGTTTCGTAATAATTTTTAATTATACAGCCCTCTTGCTGATTTTAAAGTGTTACATGCACAGGACAGATGACATGTTATCACGTAAAGCAACCATCCACACATGAAAAGACCTAGGTTTACAATTTATGAGAAAAACTCTACTATGTACACAATGTACATAGACGTAAAATGTAAAAACTTAAATATCTTGGGAAAAGTAGCCATTCAGTTGTTTTATATGTAATATTTGAATTCAGCACATCAAAATCCATAATAAACAGCACATGTAATCTCTGAAGCAGACGACGTCTAAAAAATGTAGACCAATGTAATCAATGCAGTGTCATTACAAATAAAACGGATGAGTTCTTGTTAAGTAAAAATGGATGCATTTTAACATCGAATGATAATAAATCTCCAGAAAACTAACAGTGAAAAATCCACCCTCCTATTATTGGTTCAGGGTCACGATTTGATTCAGCAATATATATTTGTTGTGTCCAATATTCACTCTCATTGTATTATTTCTCATTTCCTTTGCCTAATTTTGTACGGTTTCGTCCACTCATTCGCATATATGTAACATTCACCATATAATTGGATATGTGGCATCGAATCGTAAACAATTATTTATCCTGCACACGATTCAATACACGCATCGTAACCATACGAATATAGCTTTCTTTATCAATGAGTGCATCGATACATGCCTATTAAAACGTGAAATGTGCATCACTGCAATTGCTTCCACTTCAGCAGGGGTCGGCAACTTTCGTCTCTTTGGCTTCCCCCTTGCGGTTCTTTGACTGCCCCATTGCTGCGAGCATCTGGGGTTTTTTTTTTTACTGAAATATTAAACGTAACTTAACTTTAAGATAATTGATAAAATATGGCAGGGAATGGGTCACTATGGAACGTCTTGGTGACAACAACATGTACATTCAAACTGTATTGCTACATTATAATTCAGGGGAAATGAACTAAATAGACGCAGTTTATTCCATCACCTGTGTTGTTTATTTAAGTCAGTGATGTGGTTCTCGGACTCTTTTGGTCAAAGCCAAAAACAAAAAAAATAGCTCCTCTTCTTTGAAAGGTTGCCGGCCCCTGCACTCAAGGCAGCAGCTCGAGAGAGCTCCATTGGAGAGTATTTGTTTTTCATAATAAAGGTTTTTGGGTTAGATCGCGTTTATTTATAAATGTGTCGTAACCCTCCACCACCCGACACGGCCAATCAGCAAAAAAAAGTGTCACGTTGACAAAAGACAAATAATTTACTACTTTAGCCCACCGGTGTGTTGAAGAGTGAATCCACATTTACAGTTTGAGTACTAAAACTGTAAATGTGGATTCACTCTTCAACACACCGGTGGGCTAAAGTAGTGAATTATTTGTCTTTTGTCAACGTGACACTTTTTTTTTGCTGATTGGCCGTGTCGGGTGGTGGAGGGTTACGACACATTCATAAATAAACGCGATCTAACCCAAAAACCTTTATTATGAATAATATTGGTCGCGAAAGCCTACATGTTAAACTGAGTATTTGTTTTATTTCATCACTGGCCAGACGCCCTGAAAAAAATGTGGAAGTATTCACAATTTACCCCTCGTCACTCGACCTGGAGATCGACTTAGATCGACATTGATACTGCTGCGTGAAAAAAAATATTTAAGAAACTTGGCCCATTGGTTCAAACTTCCGTGCCAGATAAAACCTGGGCGACCGCTAATCATTGAGCACTTGCAGATCGCTTTGGCGACCATCTGCAACGCTCTTCCTTCCGATATTAGAAAGCCACTGGCGCTATACACCTTTAAATCTTTTATAAAAACTCATTTCTCGAGACCTGCTTTTTTGTGTTTAGTTTGTTGTCCTTCCCCCGCACCTCCGATTAGCACGGTTGGCTATGTATGGTGCGAAAGAAGTTCAGCATACGTACATAAATCCCACATGCTGATATTTTCTACTAACATGTATTCAATCTGCTCATATATTTTATTTGGCAGGAAATGGTCACCCAAGCCTCTGCCTACCTGCACACAGTTACAAACAACCAAATGTATTTCAGAAATGTCAGTATCCTGATCCCATCCTCTTGGAAAACAAACTCCAGCTACCAGCAGCTGAAATCCGAGTCCTACGGTCAAGTAAGATCTCACAAACATGGGCAGGGTCACTGACGCACTGCTAATTGCATAGAGATCGGCCAACAGCGTTGGACTTTGTTTCCCCATAAACGTTTATTTTTACTTTGCACCACTATAAAGCCTTGCTGTGACTTTTTTAACCATAAAAGGTGAATATTGAAACATGTTTACGAAGCATACACCAACTGTGCTGTCCAAACTAAAGCCATGTCAATTCAATATTGTATCTGCATTCAGTGAGCCTTAATAAAGGGCTCACAGTAGGGAGGCACGTGCAAAAACAATTTGCAGACACAAAGAATCTATACAGTTGGATAATATGTTCACTGTTGACAGCGTTACCATCTCAGATCAAAACTGTGCATTTTATTCTTAGCAAATAAAACCTGGTTAAACCGTAATTTTCATTTTAAAACAAATTTCACAATGAAAATATAAAAGTGACATTTAAGAAAAACACAATTTTAATCATTAAATAAGATTGTTAACGGTGATAACTTGTGTAGGGCTAGGTTAAGCAGAGGCATTCAAGCTTTCTCGCCACAACAGCCGAGTACGCGGGAGCTCATCCTTGTACTACTTTTATTTGTCAAGTTACACAACGTCATCACATCTACCGCTCTATTTAAGAAACGAAACAGGAGGATTTCTCCACAAATCTGGCTACCGCCTGATGATGCCGGTTGTAATTACTGGCGAAACGTCGTACTCAGATTGTAAATGTTGTGGATTTGCTCTCCAATACACCAGTGTGCTGTACTAGTAACGAATTGGCATGTTCTGTTTACATGACAAACCTTACTAATTGGCTGTGTCGGGTGGTGGCGGGTTTAACGACACATTTATATCTATGCGATTTAACCCAAAAAAAACCTGTATTATGAAGAACATATTTCAGTATACAAATAGAATGATTATGATTTGAACACTTTTGTAATTCAGCCATTTTTTGTTATAAATAGGTATCTCAAGTGAGAAATCACAATTTAATCATCGAACGATTTTCCCCACGCATCAGGTCCGTTGATGCCTGGAGCCTATGGACAGTATTGTAATTAAGATCTCATAATACTCTATTTGGTGCTGGTAAAACGACACAACAGTAGAGGTGTCCTGATAAGGCACAGTTATCACACAGTGGTTTCCCCGTGCACACAGGCGGAGGTGCTTATTGCTCTCCGAGACGACCCCGAGGATGACTCGCCGTACACTCACCAGTACGGGCTGTGCGGGGACCCCGGACAGTACATTCAGCTCACCCCCAACTTCCTCCTGGCCGACAAAAACCTTGACGCGTACGGCCCAAGAGGTACCTTACATAAACTCGTTCTGTTCATGCGCCAAATACAACCTGCTAGCACCCAAGCTGGTCACGTCTCAGAAGTTACGCAGGATTGGGTTTGGTGCTCTTTTTCAGTGGCTGCCAGGGAATCGAGGTGTTGTAGTCGTGGACTGCAAAGGGTGACCAATGATGGTAGTATATAATATCATGGCTTTATAAGCTCCAAGTAGCATGATGTCTTATAAAGTTGAGTCAAAGTGTCTTCCTACTCAAATGAGCAATGAGGCGGCACCCATCTATGTGGCTCCGATCAAGTGAAAATACCACATTCCCAGGTTAAGAACCAGGCTACAGTCTACATTATAGACTGCCAGTATGCTCACCAAGCTTAAAACCAGGCTACAGTCTACATTATAGACTGCCAGTACGCTCACTCAGTTAATAACCATTGCTACAGTCTATATTATAGAATGCCAATACGCTCACCAAGCTTAAAAACCAGGCTAGTCTACATTATAGACTGCCAGTACACTCACTGCGGTTAAGAACCAGGCTACAGTCTACATTATAGAGTGTTAGTACGCTCACTGAGGTTAAGAACCAGGCTACAGTCTACATTATAGACTGGCAGTACACTCACCAAGGTTAGGAACCAGGCTAGTCTGCATTATAGACTTCCAGTACGCTCACCGAGGTTAATAACCAGGCAACAGTCTACACTATAGACTTCCAGTACACTCACTCCGATTAAGAACCAGGCTACAGTCTACATTAATGATTTTTATTAGTTTTTTTTATTATTTGTATTCACTTTATTTTTTTTTATCTACGTGACTTTACCGAAAGAACATACATTCCGAATTTGGGAATTATTTGGCCTTTCGCAACAATGTAGGAATTACCAGAAATGCGATGTAGGTTGCTATTATATTATTTCTAAACCCATGAAGGTTACTCAAGGTCAGAAAGTAGAATTTCTTTAACATAAACATAACGACACAATTATTACGTGATAGATGTTACCGAAGTGCTACTTTATTTGATCAAACTGAAGATTTGCGTGTTGTTTTCCAGGAAGAGCCTTTGTCCATGAGTGGGGGCACCTTCGCTGGGGACTCTATGATGAATACAGCATTGACATTCCTTTCTACTTTGAGAGTGGAAAGGTGGAATTCACAAGGTTGGTATTAATAGCTATAATTTGGACCGTGGCAAATGATTTGCAAATTCCTAAAAAAAAAATACACGGCAGATAGAGATGCGTTTCAGATTAAAAAGTTTGCGAACATCAGATATTTTTTTTATTACGGGCAATTATGGATTTTCATATTTATATTTCTTACATTTTAATACTGTATTGTATATTTTCATTGTTTATGCACTCCATTACATACTTTTTATTTGTTTTAAATATTATTGATTGAATCTTAATTATAAAAAAATATAAGTTCCATCGGTAAAACAATATATTTCATGCAAACATTTTTATATTTTAATCATTTACACAGAGTGGTGTCACGAGATTGCCAAAATGTCGTCACATTTGGAAAAGCAGGGAAGTGATGCCAGTGACATGTTTTCGGATAAATAAAAAATGTTGGATCATTAAACATGTTGTGTCTAGGCCTGGTTTTTATACTTTATTATTATTCGTCAAAATCGTAAACACAGCATAAACAGCAGGTTGCTTTGTCAGTGATGATGCTGCTTGCCCACAATGCATAGGTGACAACCCCTAATGATGGCTGACCACGCTTCTTAAAACTGCCCAATAACAAAATCTCCTCCGTTGCATGAAGATTTTAACACCGTTCCTCACGCACAGGTGCTCAAAAAACATCACGGGTGGCAATGGAGTGGTAACGTGTGGAAGCACCGGGGCTTGTAAAGTGCGGGAATGTAACATCAATCTCTTCACTGGCCTGCCAGAGGAGGACTGCTCATTCTTCCCGGACAAAGACCAAACAGCGCAAGAATCCATCATGGCCCTACAGTGGCTTGACAATGTGAGCTGCAGCTACTTAACCTACTTCAGGTGTTGACCAAATGATCAAAGGCATGATTCTGGTGAATTGCCGTACTCTTTGTAATGGAGACATGGGTTTAATTTTTGCCAATAAAGCTGGATGAGTAAACATTAGTGAGCGCATGATTTGGGTCGCTCATGTACAGGAATGCCAATTATTTTCTAAACAAATTCAAGCCAGGCTTAAATTGTGATATTTTTTGGTTTTATAAGAGCCTAATGTAAAATCTATCATCAGTTTAGCTCTTGTTTATATGATCCTAGCAAAACGGTTACAAACACATCAGTGTCTATTGCATATATGGCAATATGTTCAGGAGTTAAATGCCAATCTCGAGGTCTGCTGCCTAGAATGCCCTGGCATTTAAGCTAATAATAAATACAAATTCTCATCCTTATATCAGTTTTTTTATATATATAATCGGCTGTGTATTTGAACAAATTACATTATCAAATAACTGTCGATGCCTGATTATGCTTAAGTCGTATGCTTCAACAAGTGAAATATACGGCTGTGAATGTGACAAACCGTACTCTGAAAAAAAATACGAATTCTTTAATTTTCAGCTCAAACATTTGACTTTTTTTGGCAGGTGCAAGAGTTCTGCTCGGCAAGCTCGCACAACAAGGCAGCTCCGAATCCACACAACCGGCTGTGTGGTTTGAAGAGTGCCTGGGAGGTGATGCTGGGCCACCAAGATTTCGCCAACCCCACAGTGGACAATCCCATGGATCCGTCGTTCACCCTCTTGCGTCCCATACACCGGGTCATCGTCCTCGTCCTAGATGTGTCTGGCAGCATGGCAAATGTGAGTCGCTCGTTTTTCTCGTTGCACTCTTAAGGCTCTATGAATGTCTGCGCTCACATGCGAAGTTGGATATGGACATTCTCAAGCGATGACTTTTCAGCCGGTATCTTTGGAATGCTAATATTGTGCTTAGCGTATGTACCCTGTTGTATTTTAAACATTTACAACTCTGATATTTTAACCCCCGATGCACCTATCTACAAAACACTAAAGCTTGTCACCTTAACTTTGAGTTTGATTATTTCAAGCTTTATCTATGACCCTTGTGGTAACCCACCCCAGGTTGTACTGGGATGCGTGAGTATCAGGGTTTGCCAGGTGTTCTAGATGTGGGGTTGCAAGGCGTGGCGAGAAGATTACAGAATTGGGTGTCACCTCCACGTCTACGTGGTGTGTTGTTCTCCGGCTACTCTGTTTTTCCCCCACTTGCTGAACGCGCATTCATGGAATTGACCAAACACACCGTAATGCAGGACCCTTCTGAAAATTACTCGTGAGGCACAGTGAGGCTTTTTATGGATAAATATTGGTGTTCATGGTTTCTTCTACTGAGAGCCTTGTCATCATAGCTGCTGTATAATAAGTGACGCTTTACTTTTTAAGCAGGAACCGGTGTATATGTGCTTTATAAATTCTGATCAGGGAGTGAACGTGAAGAAAGCTTTCCATGATAAGCTAAAAAAATTGGATTTTACTTTGTAAATTCACCAAAGACAACTTACAAAGCCAGACACCTTCGCCCCTATTATTGTTTTGCGACATCTATTTAATGTTGACAACAATTGCATAAACAGCGATACACCTCGATTTAACAGCTAATGGGAAAAAAACAGGTCTCGCGGTTATAGGAACGCTCATCGTTTACACTTTCATAATTGTCGATGTTTTTTTCGTGAAAAATATTCTTCAGAGTGGCAATATGTTCAGGCGCTAAATGCCAGTGTTGAGATTTGCAAGCCACGAGAGGGCCTCGGGAGAGAGTTCGTGTCGTTTTGCAATTTCCTCCATTGAAGGAGTGCAGGCTACGGTAGTTTAACTATATGCACTGTACCATAGTTTGGGTTTCATGGCCACGGTTGTCACAACAAATCAACTGCAGCAATATAAAACGGTGTATATAAAAAAAAGACGCTGTGAGCATGCAATTCAAGAATTATGTGCTCCCATCAATGTTGCTTTCCATCCGCCGTTTGGGACTTTGGTAGTTATTTATTAAACCTGCAAAGAACTTCAGACTTCTATTTTTACTTTTACTTGACCAAAGGAATAACCACTATTCAACATCGATCTGCATGAAAAAAAATCATTAGAAAAAGATGGAAAGCACTATTTTTGTACCCTCTTAAAAATATCAATGTCAGAAACTAACGTTGCCAGCAACATCAATGAATAAAAATAGTAACAACTAAAGACCTTTTCACGAGGCCAATTTTCTTTTTTTTTTGGCCAAATTTCCTTTTTTTATAGATTCCATGTATGAGTATTTCAGAATAACTACATGTTCTGTGTTATTGCAGTACTGTAAACATAGACAATGGACATTTTGACACACCCAGATTCAAACCCATGATCTCAGCACTCTGGCCTCTGAGTTACCATTCTCTCAACCTGTTTTGATCGATGTTTTGGACTAGTTTTATTTATTTTTTAAGTATATTATTATATTTTTACTGTCTACAGAACGTTGGGTGACAAAATAAACAACCGTACGCGAATATCCGCGAGGCCTACACACACGAGGCGTTCTGATTGATAGGGGGGAACAGTCAGCCTGGGGAAGTTTTTACTAATGTTTTTTTATTGTGCTCACTAAATGTATCGCACCATTTCCCCCGTTTTAATGTTGGGTTTATTTACCATTGGGAATAACTCACTATCTTAATGTATTCAGCAACTGGCTATTTGCACAATAAAGTGTTCACAGATAATCGTCTCCAAGCATGACCCAAATTGTGCGTGTGCCGGGTTGCGCGTTAACTTTTCCACCACAGTTCCAACGGATCCCGAGACTCCGGCAAGCGTCGGAAATATTCATCATGCAGATCCTGGAGGATGAAACAATGGCTGGAATCGTGACGTTTGATCACCAGCCAAACGTCAACAAGGGGCTGACCAGAATCACGGATGACACGAGCCGAAAAGATTTCGTGAAATACCTGCCTCGAGCCTCCGATCGGGGCGGCACAGAAATATGTAAAGGAGTACGGCAGGGACTTTTGGTAATCCATATATTGGTTTGGACTGTCTGCGTTGCTTCCAAGCTGAAAAACTCAACACTGGCTTTGTTATAACTATAAGGCGTCACGCAAGTGCTTCAGTGAATGTAAATAATGAATGAATAACAGATTATTTAAAACAAATAACCAAATATCAATGTGGTTAGTATTGACATCACTGATGGAAACGTAACATGCTAACGTCTGCGAGTGGTTTTTTTTCTACATTTTTATTCACTTTTGATCAAGTCTTTTGCTATCGCTGTGTTAAAAACTAATTTCCCACACGTCATCGTCCACCCTCGCAAAGTCGACGATGGCAGAACTGTCACTTGGATGTAGCTCTCCCTTGTGTTTTCGGGTTCAACCTTGTTTTTGTTCGGCACGATGTCTGGCGTTTCGCTCCGCGTGCTCCAATTGCTGGAAGTTTCTTCAGGAAAACTGAAGCTTCTAACGCATGATGCCAAACAACAAATGGTACATGCCAATGTCGCATGGGAGAGGTATACAGCACAAATGAGTATTACTCAAATGCATTACAGTCACAACTCATTTTACTAAAATAAAGTTAATATGTTTATCTATACACATTAGTGTGTCCCATCCTGTTTATATATAGGAGCCTTAAACATGGATGCTTTATATTTAAGCATTGTTTTAGCACTTGGCCAGTCAAATATTCACACAGAATAACTAAATATATACAACTTGTTTAACAGGCCTTACTCTGCTGATGAGAAGGTCGAAAGAGGTCCAGAGGGCATCTGATTAAACAAATGCTTCTGGAAAGCATTGGTCTAGAAGGCCTCATAGGCTTACGGCCAAAAGTAAGTTTTTTTATACGTAGAGACAGAATTAGATAGTTGACATTTTGTTAATGAAAGTAACAACGTAGCGATATTTTGGTTTTCACGAGATAAAACGTCGCGAGAATTGTATTGTTTTATATTTTTATTTTATTGTTTCCCTTCTACGTGACTTTAGCGAAAGAACCAAGAATATGAGATGAAACACGATAAAAAGTCGAATTTGGACCTTTTAAAATTTGTATTGAAACAAAACGCACGCGCGTTGGAGCGCATCACAAAACTCGTGCGAGTTTGCGCGGGATGCTCTCAATGCATCTGTATCATCCAACAGGGGGGAGGGGTTGTAGCCTTTGGTAGAGGAGGTGGCGAGATGTTAACCAGCGTGCCTGGTATACAGGAGTCGTGGATTCGATCCCGTCCCAAACGCCTGCTGTATATTTGGAGTTTGCATGTCTCTCTCTCTCTCCACATTTAGAAACAACCTGCGTTTAAAGTGTTTGGCTGCTATAAATTTCCACGCGATAAGCCACCTCGTTGAGCTATCATTTGTGACCAGGTCGCTCCTGAAAAAAGACCTATACAGCTCAGTGGGCCTTACGTGGTAAAATAAAATATCAAGCGGTGGGGGGGGGGGTAGAGAGGGGGGTGCATTAGGACCTTTAATTGATGCTATCCGTGTTGCCCTTTAGGTTTTGTCAGAAGACAATGGCGACGCCTACGGAGATGAGATAATTTTGCTGACCGACGGTGAGGACAAAGGGATCAGCCTCTGTTTCCAGGAGGCCTTCGACAGCGGCTGCACAATCCACACCATCGCCCTGGGGCCCGGTGCAGATGCGGGTCTTGAGACGCTCTCGACCATCACCGGTGAGCATTGCTACACTTCATGTAAATGTTCAAAGTATTCTTCTCCAACGTAGTACGTATGCAGTTGTTGAGATTCATATCACAAGGTAATCATTTGCTATTTTAATTAGTTACGGTTGGCATGGTTGGCTACGTACGGTGCAAAATAAGTCAAAAAAATACTTACCTAAAACTAGTCATTGAATAACCTTAATAATGCAAATTATTGAATGAAAGAAATGCCACTACCATCGGTATGTATTTCCCAGCTCAAGTAATTAAACATTTGATGGTATCTCATTATTATCATCATCATCAACCATTGTCTATCCACCGCTGGACGAAGCCTTCTCCTGCCATCGCCATGCCTCATGGTGCTGAAATTCCACAATCCATCTCTCTCCAGCACTTGAACTGATGTCATGACTCCATCTCTATGGCGGTCGTCCTCTTAACGCCGTTCCCTGCTTCGGCTGGCATGCCACCACCAATCTCATCTACCAGCGATCGTTCCTTTTTGTCATCATGTGTACTGCTCAATCCCACAATTTCCCCTTAGAGGCAATACGGTGTCTCTATACTTGCACTTGTGTACCTCCAACAATTATTTTGTTTTGTTTTGCAAACCTGTTGTACATTAGGTTTTTTTTTGCCCATGTTTGTATTGAGCCCAACCTTATTTTTTAAGCTCTTTCGTTATTTTCTGTAGTTAATTTTCATTCATTGCTCGAACGGTTTGTGTCATGAGCAAATCTCAGATGGCTGATACAAGAAGGATGAATACTTGGATAGGCTATAACAAACGCTATTATATAACTGACCATAAGCAAAGGCAGATAGATATAGGGGAGGGTGGTCCCGAAATTTCAAGCTGTTTAAATAGGGTCCTCTATTAAAAAAAATGTGTTCTCTTCGGTAAATATTAATATAAAAATTACACTTTTTGGGGGTCTCGATCACCCCCCATCGACTCCCCCCCCCCTTACATCCATTCCTGACGATAGTACCGTGCGTCCATGCCTAGCTATTGTCATAGAAGTAGTGTACACTCTAGACACGTCAACATGGAGGTTTAACTTCATTCTGGTGGAAAATTGCTCCGCTCTTTATGCCAGGTGGATTGCACTTTTACGCGACGGACAACTTAGACACGAACGGCCTCGTGGACGCGTTCACATCCACGACGACAGACACCGGAGACTCACACTCTCTGGTGGTACAGGTGAAGCCCACACGCGAAGTGTACCAAGCTGCACAAACTTAACCCAGTCTGAAAAGCTTACCTATCATTACAGCAGCCAACCAGGATGTGAGTTTACATTTTGAGCTTCAACACAATGCACATGTACAAACAACCCTTTTGATGGATTGATTGATAATATCATCTAAGTTTAATGAAGGTTGAGGACTAATCCAAGTTGTGCGGGGTTATTTAACCATACTTCACCATGCTGGTCAGTGCAGGGACGGCGAAGGCAGGGAGCGTATACGTGGCAGAGTGGATTGAGTGTTACCCCTAACTCCTCGTCGCGCGTGTGGGTGTACTCACGTGTACTCTGGTTTCCCCCCACGTGCATATTTAGTACAACCAATGTATGTCGCTGCACTGCCCTCTGCTGCCCACCAGATGCTCCACAAGCCCTATAATCTTTCCGGACTGCTTCGTGACTTTGTTTATGAAGGGCCACCATCTCGTATTCACATCGCATTGCGGTTTCTTGAAATATTGAGGGGGTGTTTTTACCGAATTCGAAAATGAACGGCACTTCTTGCTGTTGTTTTCATTGGCGACCCCTGCCCTATATCAACCTATTGTGTGCATCACATCCACCCATACAAGCAATGTCCAGGCTCAGTTCTGCTTAGACTTCCAATATTTGATGTGATCAGTCACACTCTGCGTGATTTGGTCATAGGCTTCATCATAGCACTCTACGTGTTAATTTATTTTGAATGTTTGTTACTCAGATTATAACTTAAGGACCAAGATGAGCAATACACCACCAATATTAAAAAAATATATATTCATTCCATTTTCAGGTTTTATTTTTGAAAGTTTGTGACCTAACCTGGAGGATGTGGGGGATTTGTTTAGTTGTCATAGAGTTGTGAGTTCTCACTCAAAAAATCAATTGATGAATGGACTAAAATATTGTTTAAAACCATCATCAGTGATTTATTGAAAATGCTTATTTGATGGTCATTCAATGTTTTAGTCAAAAATAGAAAAAATAACTAACAACTAACGCAAGGGTGGAGCCCTGCGTACACTGCCATGGTGTCGAGACGGCACTTTCCTGACTAGATCGTGCCATTCTTCGCCGGGAAATGTATTTGAGTCGTCAATTTACTATACATGATTCATAATCATGGGCTAATGTGTGCCAGTGGCATGTGTATGTCACATGTAATCAGCAGTTAATTTGATTTCTAAACAAATTAACCATTATTGATAGCTTTGTCCAGTCGATATATATGTGTATGTGAGACGGGATTTTCAAAGTATACAGATATGAATATGGCCCAATTGGATCATCCTGTAGGAAGCAAGAACTTTAACGTTGCGTTGCTGTTTTATTTAACAAAATTTGTATTTATCTACGAAAGCTCGAGAGCACCGGGGAAACCATGAGCAGCAACGAGTGCCTCGAAGGAGTGGTGTACATGGACACGAGCGTGGGAAACAACACCAAGTACGTCGTCACGTGGCTCTCGAACAAGGTTCCTGAGATCCTCGTCAGCGACCCGGGCGCCAACAACTACACCAATTTGAATTTCACCATCGACGAGGACTTCAAAACCGCACGGTTGACCATTCCGGGAACCTCGCAAGTGAGTATCTTTTTTTTTTTACGGGACCTTTCTTGACAATATAAAAATGATGAACTGTACTGTTCGCCTTTGCCGTTCTCTGATCTAGCACAGGTGAGACAAGGCCATCATTCTGGCTGTCTCTCTGGTGTAGGCCAATGGGTTTCAAAGACAATGCATATATTATCAGAGCATGTTCGTTTGCATCTGTTTGCCACTGGTATGTGGCAAAACATGCTCCACTACATTTTGATTTAAATTTTGATTTAAAGCTTTCGTGACTGCAGTGATTCATGTTCTTGGCTCTTTCGGTAAAGTCACGTTGAAGGGAAACATTTTATTATTTTATTGTTTCCCTTCAACGTGACTTTACCGAAATAACCAAGAATATGCTCCACTACAGTTGCCCAGTTTGCTATGTTTTCGCATATTAATATTGTGCATGTATGTGTACTGTACAGCCCTATTGTAAATCCACCGTTGGATGAGGGGCTCCCCATGCCGTGCAGGTCGTGGGTGTTATGTGACCATACTTCACCATGCTGCTCAGCGCAGCTTTTGCGAACGTGGGGAAAATAGACATTGGAGAGCAGAAGTATGGTACAACAACGGTGTATTTTACTGCACGGCTCTCTACAGATCCATAACATATGTTATGCCTGGTGGTCACCCATCCAAGGACAATCCAGGATCAACCTCAATTGGCTTCCAAGATGTGGGTGCATTCTGGTGATAAAGCCACATACACACATTGTATTATCAGAATCAAAATCTTTATTTAGACTGTAGGAATCCGATGAGCTGTGAAGCTCTTTTTCACAGATGCCCAGTATGGGTGGGTCAGAAAGAGTATGGGCAGATATGATAGGTACTGCTAATCGCTGTAACTTGGGTTGCCACCTTTTTCACAGACCAAGCCTAGATATAGCCTCGGTCTATACAAACTGCAGCGTACTTATAAAAGTTAAATATAATACCACCGGATTTTTGGCGCACATCAATTCCTGCCACCTGTACACAGATGCCAATTCCTAGACTGTCCAGGTAACGCTGAACAGGTGGCAACAGTTTAACACGTAGGCTTTCGCGACCAATATTATTCATAATAAAGGTTTTTGGGTTAGATTGCGTTTATTTATAAATGTGTCGTAACCCTCCACCACCCGACACGGCCAATCAGCAAAGATAAGTGTCACGTTGACAAAAGACAAATAATTCACTACTTCAGCCCACCGGTGTGTTGAAGAGTTAATCCACATTTACAGTTTGAGTACGACGTTTCGCTGGTAAATACTTCCAGCATCATCGGGCAATTCGCCAGAATGGTAAAGCCCTCGCTTGCTCCCGGTTTTATATAGAGCAGAAGAGTGACGTCATCACTTAACTCATCAGGTGCAGTGATTAGAGGCGGAGGGGGGGGGTAATGTAATTATATAATCGATTAGTAATCAGTCATTGGTTATGATTAGTAATGAGTTGTAGATTAGTAATTCTTTAAATCAAAATGTAATGTGTATTATTTAATAATACGCTTCCAGGCCGCACTGAGCCGGTAGCTGTCAGAGCGATTAAAGTTATTCTTGTTCCTCTCAATTTCAATGGATTCTCTAATTAGTCTTTGCCAGTAATAATTAGTTTTACACACCACTGCAACATTGTCAAAATCAATTGAGTGTCCTTGTTGACAAGCATGTTCTGCCACTGCCGACAGTTGTGTTTGAGATAATTTAATATTTCTCTGATGTTCTTTTAGTCTGCTACATTGGGCAGACGGGACGTAACATCAGCGTAAGACTAAAAGAACATCAGAGAAATATTAAATTATCTCAAACACAACTGTCGGCAGTGGCAGAACATGCTTGTCAACAAGGACACTCAATTGATTTTGACAATGTTGCAGTGGTGTGTAAAACTAATTATTACTGGCAAAGACTAATTAGAGAATCCATTGAAATTGAGAGGAACAAGAATAACTTTAATCGCTCTGACAGCTACCGGCTCAGTGCGGCCTGGAAGCGTATTATTAAATAATACACATTACATTTTGATTTAAAGAATTACTAATCTACAACTCATTACTAATCATAACCAATGACTGATTACTAATCGATTATATAATTACATTACCCCCCCCCTCCGCCTCTAATCACTGCACCTGATGAGTTAAGTGATGACGTCACTCTTCTGCTCTATATAAAACCGGGAGCAAGCGAGGGCTTTACCATTCTGGCGAATTGCCCGATGATGCTGGAAGTATTTACCAGCGAAACGTCGTACTCAAACTGTAAATGTGGATTAACTCTTCAACACACCGGTGGGCTGAAGTAGTGAATTATTTGTCTTTTGTCAACGTGACACTTATCTTTGCTGATTGGCCGTGTCAGGTGGCAACACTACGCTGTACATGCGATATATTTGTTGCAGAGTTTCATGTACATATATTCACACAATCCATCAGCACCGTGACCAGCCAAAGCCTGTCACACCGCTGGATGAAATCCTTCCACGTATTGTTGCCTTCAAGGATGCCACAATCCATCTCGCTCCTGCGCATGAAGTGATGTCACCACTCACTCTCCACGGTGGTGCTCCGCTTGGTTGCATTCTCTCCTGTGCCCACCGTTGTGTCATCAGTCTCATCCCATTGGCCATCATCCTTTCAAGGGATGTGACCTGTCCAAGAACACTTTATTTTCTTAACAGTCATTGTAATGTATACGTCAAGGCCGTAGCCATGGAGACAACATTGGGGGGAACCAAATCTTCCGGGGGGTCTGGGGGTCCCCCCCCCCCAGAAAAAAAATCTAAATTTGAAAACAAATTTCCTGCTATTTCCTGCCAAAAATATTTAAAAATTCACTAACACATAGGATGGACTTTTGATGTTTTACAATAATGTCTAATAGTGTATTGTATTACATTGCTCTGTTTTTTTACCTTGTTTTATTGTATGTAATGGCAGAGATTATGGATTAGTAAAGTACAACCATAACCACAATCATATAAACATACATCTATTTTATAGCAATATATTGGGGGGGACATTTTGAGCATATTTTATGTGTCCCCCCCAATATATATTATAATTACGGCCTTGGTGTCCGTATTCCAAACATAGATATGACCACCAAACGCATCCCTATACGGACTTTATCAATGTACGTTACATGTTGAGGAATGTGTACGTTTCTGCAGCGTACATAATTGCTTTTTTCAAGCACGTATTTTTTTCCTCTACACAACTCTTCTCTTGTTTTACCCTAAAATGGAATACTGTGCTTCGTTCTCTTATTTATGGTGTCTCAGTGGGCTCTACCACTGAAATAAAGTTTACTGGAGGATGGTATGACTTCACATTAAGACAGACTGCATAGACACATAGCGAGAAGAACATTGACTTTATCACCCACAAAGAGACAGTGACTTCACGATGCTCATTATATTCTTAGTTTTTTCGGTAAAGTCATGTTGAAGGGAAACAACAAAATAATAATATATATAAAACAATAAAAAAATTCTCACGACGTTTCGACCATAACCTGAAGACGACCGTTTGAGTTATGGTCGAAACGTCGTGAGAATTTTTTATTGTTTTATATATATTTTATTATTTTGTTGTTTCCCTTCAACGTGACTTTACCGAAAAAACTAAGAATATGAATTACTGCAGTCACGAAAGCTTTAAATCAAAGATGCTCATTATGTTACTGCTTATATCGTACATGGCATATCATAACAGACAATGTATGTCGTAAGGTAAACGCTACATTGCCAATGAATGGGGACTCCAGAGGTCAATGACCAATGGGAAGACCTGAAGCCAAATGGTGGAATACTGTAATAAATATCGCTGAAAAGTCGCGTGTAGAACCTACGATACGATCTAGCAAACATAATAAGGTGTGGCAGCATTAACAGCATTGGTATTTATGACCTCTTGACGTTGAGTGAATGCTAGAACAGATACCGCGTGTGCATGACTAATGGAAGGGGGTTAGGAGGTGTAGAAGTGGTTAGCGTCCTACATGCTGAACCTGGCAACCTGAGTTCGATTTCTGTCCACAGCTGACATCAGTGCTGAGCGATATCTGAACCTGGGCACCCCCTTCACTAACCCACACTGACCAATGAGATACAATTATACAGCATGTTCAAATATCTCCCCGTGACCGAAAAAAGTATGGAAGTTTTCATTCAGCAGTGGCTTGGTAAATGGTTGTACATTGTTACGCTTATTATAACAAATATAAATTATTGTTACCCTCAGCCTGGGGTGTGGAGTCACTCGATATGCAACAGAGCTGCCGACGAGGACACATTTGCCCTGATGGTGACCAGCAGCGCATCCAGACAAGGAGTTAAACCCATCACCATGGAGGCGCACGTGCTATCGGGTGTGGGTGGACAGCCCCAAATCAACGCCATCTACGCCCAGATCATGCAGGGCTTCACGCCGGTCGTGGGCGCCACTGTCTTTGCCTTCATAGAGCGGCCAAGCGAGCCAGTGGCCTACAAGCTGGAGCTTCTGGACAACGGGGCAGGTGTGTTCTATCTGGGAGGAGGCCTTTGTGAGATGTGTTGTTCTTCCCTGTGCCTCCAGTTAGCACGGTTAACTGCATACGATGCGAAAGAAGTTGAATGTACAGACATTCATACAAGATGAGGAGTTCATTCCCGTCTCCTTCCCCGCACAGTCTAGAAATCCCTTTCCCCAGTCATCCCTGCTATTGACTCCATGCCCACGTTCAAGCCCAGGCTCAAGACCTTCCTCTTTTCCTGCTACAAAATAAATATTCCCACTGCGTTTGTACAGCATCTTGGGATGCGGTTTCAATTTAATGCAAAATATATCCACATTGTATTCTGTTGCATTCATGTTACTAAGTGGCTTATGGGTCAGCTCACTGAGATGGCACCACTGAGATATTCGGTTAAATGATGGGTTTCAGCCATCAATTGTCTCAGCATGGTTACTGATGATTATAAAAAAAAGCTGCTTTTTAAGTTTGGTTTTTCATTTGTACGATTTCTAACTCTAAAAGTAATACATATGTTGGTTTGCTTGCCATCTCCATAGCAAGGTGTTTGGAAAGTACAAAACTGCTAGTGTCAATAAGAGGTCACTTGAAGGAATATTATTCAATATTGATTTGAGAGAGCTGGGTATAAGGGGAAATTTACTCGGAAAAATAGACTAGTACCTGGCAGATATGACAGACAACGACCATAAAGCAGTTATGGTTTTACCTGGTTAATAACATCCTTCCAATGATTGCTAAATTTGTATCCATCTTCTCGGTTGAAGTTATGTCTATGTTTATATGTCTGGATGGCTTCATGAACAAACCTTTGATAGCCCGAAGGTTTGCAGAGTACCTTGGTCTCGGAAAAAACAATATCATGCGAGCCCACAGCGTTATAACAATGGTCAGAGGTATTGGTTCTGCCGTGTTTCAGATCTGCCTTGTGTTCGTGGACACGGTCCGAGACATGTTGTTTCGTTTCCCCAATGCAGGGGTCGGGAACCTTTTTGACTAAGAGAGCCATGAAAGCAAAAAATTTGGAAATTTATTTCAGTGAGAGCCATATAATATATTTTAAAAGTGAATTCAACTAAATGTCAGTATAATAAGCCTCTGAATTTATTCTTTTAAATAATGTTGTTATAACACTCACCATTAATGCGACTTCTGGTGCTGCATGGATTTGCTGATGTCTTTGTAGTCGGGTTGGTACTTGGTGAGGTTAAGCTTCATGCAAGCATTGAGGCTTTCATCCGTTAAACGTGATCGTAGGTTGGACTTGATGTTTTTAAGATGTGAGAATGACTGCTCACATGCATACGTAGATCCAAACATGGTCAATACAGCAATACTCACACGCTGCAGTGTGTGGTATGTGACAGGAAGCGCGTTCCAAGTTTTGAGAATCAGCTGGTCTTCGGGTTGGAGTTTTTTCATTTCTGTCCACATGTGCTTGCTCGCCAACTCCGCTTTCTGTCGTGTGATTCTTTCCAAATCTTCATTCAGTGACTTGAACTTATTCACCCACATGTCTGAGGCCTTCAGGTCAGCCACTTCTGCTTCAAAATCTCTGACGGAGACACCAGGGATGTAATTCAGGTCGGCTGTGTTCAGTGAACACTCGTTTGGATGGGTGATTAACTTAAAAAGACGAGTGTGCTCACGAAATTCTCCAAAGCGTGCTTTGAAGGACTGTAGGAGACTGGATGTGCAGCCAGCTAGCTGGTGGAGATCAAGGTTTTGAATGGGCTCACTTGCTGTGCATGCATCTTTAAATTGGCTCAGTTTTTCAAAATGTAGTAAACGACCTGTTTCAAGATCCTGATGAAAAGCTCCAGCTTGTTTTCAAAAGCAAATACAGCTTGTTGAAGGGATAACACTGTATTTCCAATGCCTTGCATTTTCACGTTGAGCTGGTTCAGATGTTCAGTCAGATCTACGAGATAGTAAAACTTGAGGAGCCACTCGGTGTCGGCTAGCTCAGGATGCCCGACGCCTTTCATTTCAAGGAAAGTCCGGATTTCGTTCAGGCAAGCCGCAAAACGGCTAAGCACCTTCCCTCTTGACAACCAACGCACATTGATGTGCAAAAGCAGACCAGGATAGTTATTTACAACTTCATCCAGCAGTGTTTTAAACTGGCGATCATTTAAGGCTCGGGCAACAATAAAGTTGATCACACGAATGACCAGCGACATCACTTCGCCAAACTGCCTGTCACACATCTGAGCACAAAGTGCCTCCTGGTGTATAATGCAATGGAAACTTAGGATGGGTCTATTTTCATGTTCACGGAGAAGCGCCACAAATCCTTTGTTTTTCCCCACCATACACGGAGCACCATCAGTACACACTGAGAGAAGTTTATCCATAGGTAGACTTTTTTCTTGAGCAAACTCCATGAAAGACTTGAATAAATCCTCACCTCTTGTGGACCCTTTTAATGGCAGAACAGCAAGACTTTCTTCGCGCAGTGTGTCACCAACAGCATATCTTGCAATCACGCTGAACTGCGACAAATGGCTCACGTCTGTTGACTCATCCAAAGCCAGAGAAAAGAACGGCGCTGCATTTATGTCCTTCACTTGCGTTTCCTCCACTTTGTTTGCCATCACGATGGTACGATCATGAACAGTTCTTGCCGACAGAGGCATGTCTTGTATCCGTTTGATTATCTTGTCTTTTTGATTTAAAGCTTTCGTGACTGCAGTAATTCATATTCTTAGTTTTTTCGGTAAAGTCACGTTGAAGAGAAACAACAAAATAACAAAATATATATAAAACAATAAAAAATTCTCACGACGTTTCGACCATAACTCAAACGGTCATCATCAGGTGTGTCGGTTTGCATAAATGTATTTTGAAAACGGCATATTTATTTATTTATATATAAAAAAAATAACGTTTGCGTCACGCGCAACGATTGGCTGTTTGCCAGGACTAGTCCATCTATTTTTTGAAAAGAGGAGGGGGGAGACGAAATTTGTTTTTATGTATGCTGTCTGAAAGCCACTGTAAGCGTGAACAATCAATCAAGAACTGAAATGATTTATCAAATCTTTCCAATGATTGCTAAGATAGAATCCATCTTCTCGGTTGAAATTGTCTCTGTGTTTGTATATGTGGATAGCCTCATGAACGAATCTCTCATGGAAGCCAGATGGCTTACAAAGAACCTCCGTCTTGGAAAAGTCAATGGCATGTGAGCCTACTGAATTAGAACAATGATCTGCTACGGCCGAGGTGTTGGTCCTACCGTGTTTAAGGTCTGCTTTATGTTCACGAATGCGGTCCGAGATATGGCGTTTGGTTTCTCCAATGTAACTACTACCACAGAGGCAACTTAGTTTGTAGACACCAGGGTATTGTATGTCCGGAATCACATCTTTTACAGACGGAACCAGATCACGGATTTTATGTAATGTGTTGAAACGGACCTGGATCTTGTGTTTATTCAAGATTTTGGAGATCTTTTTTTTTGATGTAGTTTCCTTATTCACCAAGGTTCCTGTACCTGACACCATTGCAATCATTGAAGACTTGGTTCATCAAGGACTAAACACTGAGGTACCCCCCCTGGTGAGACACTGTTTAACCAATACATACTTCACTTGGAATGGAACTTTCTACAAACAAACTGAGGGCACCCCAATGGGCTCCCCCCTTTCTCCAGTTATAGCTAACATTTTCATGGAGAAATTTGAGACTGACGCCATCCAGACTGCCACTCTGCGCCCAACCTTATGGAAGAGGTACGTGGATGACACTTTTGTCATCTGGCCACATGGCCGGCCTGCTCTAGACCAATTCTTCGACCACATCAATTCCATACACCCAGCCATCAGATTTACCATGGAAGTCGAAATAGATGGCAAGATACCTTTTTTGGATGTCCTAATTAAAAAGAGACCTGATGGTTCAATGAGCCACTCTGTCTACAGGAAAGCTACCCATACGGATGCTTATCTGAAACCGGATTCCCACCACCATCCATCACAGAAGAATTCTCTCATCAAGACTCTGTATCATAGAGCCCAATGCATATCCGACCAGGAACACATAAGCAGTGAACTCAAGCACGTACACCAAGCTCTTAGGGCTAATGGTTACTCTGACTATACAATCCGCAAAGCTATCACTCAAACCATGAAGAAGAACCCTCTTGAGGAGCCTTTCAAAACCATCACTTTACCCTACATTGCTGGGATCACAAAAAAGATCTCCAAAATCTTGAATAAACACAAGATCCAGGTCCGTTTCAACACATTACATAAAATCCGTGATCTGGTTCCGTCTGTAAAAGATGTGATTCCGGACATACAATACCCTGGTGTCTACAAACTAAGTTGCCTCTGTGGTAGTAGTTACATTGGAGAAACCAAACGCCATATCTCGGACCGCATTCGTGAACATAAAGCAGACCTTAAACACGGTAGGACCAACACCTCGGCCGTAGCAGATCATTGTTCTAATTCAGTAGGCTCACATGCCATTGACTTTTCCAAGACGGAGGTTCTTTGTAAGCTATCTGGCTTCCATGAGAGATTCGTTCATGAGGCTATCCACATATACAAACACAGAGACAATTTCAACCGAGAAGATGGATTCTATCTTAGCAATCATTGGAAAGATTTGATAAATCATTTCAGTTCTTGATTGATTGTTCACGCTTACAGTGGCTTTCAGACAGCATACATAAAAACAAATTTCGTCTCCCCCCTCCTCTTTTCAAAAAATAGATGGACTAGTCCTGGCAAACAGCCAATCGTTGCGCGTGACGCAAACGTTATATTTTTTTATATATAAATAAATAAATATGCCGTTTTCTAAATAAATTTATGCAAACCGACACACCTGATGATGACCGTTTGAGTTATGGTCGAAACGTCGTGAGAATTTTTTATTGTTTTATATATATTTTGTTATTTTGTTGTTTCTCTTCAACGTGACTTTACCGAAAAAACTAAGAATATATCTTGTCTTTGTTCGGAAGATCATCAAAAAGTTCATTGGCTACATCCAGCATGAACGTTTTAGCATACTCGCCATCTGTGAATGGTTTTCCGTTCCTCACTATTGCTAAAGAACCAGCAAAGCTAGCCGAATTATAGTCACCTTGCCGGGTCCATACGCGGAGTTGCTGCTGGCTAGCTTGCACCCTGCTCAGAAGCTCTTGGCACGCTTTCTTTCTGCTGTCTCCCGCAGGGTATTTTGATGCAAAGGTAGCGTGGCGCGTGTCGAAGTGCCGCTTTACATTCGACCGTTTCAACGATGTAATTTTGTCATTGCAAATTAGACACACCGCAGAACCCGCTCTCTCCACAAAGGCGAATTCTTCGGTCCATTCGTCCTGAAATGTACGATACTCGTCGTCTTTTTTTCTTTTCGCCATCTTCTTCGTCGAAGGGTTAGCTTTGAGCTAATGACCGAGCAGACGCAGTCTCAGACTGATTCAAAAGGGGGCGTTTACCTGTTTTACCCAGCAACGGCAAACGTAGGCCAGTATCATCCAATTAAAATAATGGACAATTGCTCCTGCAGCCCTGAACAGGACATGCGCAGTGAAAAATCGATGGATGGATTAAAACAAGTGAGAATATTTTGTTTTATCTGCGAGCCATATGCAATCATCAAAAGAGCCACATCTGGCTCGCGAGCCATAGGTTCCCGACCCCTGCCCCAATGGAACTGCTACCGCAGGTACAACTCAGTTTGTAAACTCCAGGATATTGCATGTCAGGAATGACATCCATCACAGATGGGATTAGATCACAGATTTTGTGTACTGCATTGAATCGGACCTGGATCTTGTGTTTGTTTAAGATTTTGGAAATATTTTTGGTAACACCTGCTATGTATGGTAACATGATGGTTTTGACCAGCTTCTCAAGGGATTGTTTCTCCATGGTTGGAGAAACAGCTTTGCAAATAATGCGGTCCGAGTACCCATTCATCTTGAGGGCCTGGTGTACGTGGTCCAGTTCACTGGCTAGGCGGTGTTGGTCAGAAATGCAGTGGGCCCTATGGTGTAGTGTTTTGATGAGGGAATTCTTCTGCGCCGGATGATGGTGGGAATCAGGTTTCAGATTATTCCTTCAAGTGTAGTGACATAGAATCGGTCACATAGCAACATAGCGCTGGCTGCTGGCAGGGAAGGGGATCGCCATCTTACAGCAGCCCTGACTGACAGCAGGTCACGTGATAGACCAGAGACGGATGTAGGGGAAAGGTCACGGAAGGGGCACGTCGAGAACCCGTGAGTAGGTTCAAGAAGGGGGGCGTGGCCGGGGCAGAGCTAGGCCACGCTGACAGTTTAAGAGGGGCCCAGGGAGGGGACCTCGGGGCTATCGTTTGGAGTGGGATCCCATCGTGCCGTCTCCGTCTTCCCCATCTCGACGTCGCCAGTCAGGCAGTCTAAGCAGCTGTCCTGACTGGGAATCGTAGTTACCAAGTGTGAACTGTTAAGGCCGTTTAATAAACAGAGTGCCCCCTACTTTTAGTGTCTCTGAGTCAGTCACTACAATAATATCACCTTCCACACAACATTCTCTAAAATGGGTGATTTATTGTTCTGCTATAGTTCCGAATAGACATTCATCATCTCCAGACATGATGGTGATATAAAAAAAATTAAAATTGTAAAAAGACCAACGCACTTGAAATAGTTGGTAATCCTCAGCCGTACGGGTTACCAAGTGTGGAATGCATCTAGAATAAGGTGTTGTATGTATGTGACCAAATAGAACTGACAGATGTTCATTTGAGGTCCTGGAAGTCATATCGGGTAAAATATTTCTTTTTAGATATTGCAGTGCTGTATTGAGGAAGAAAGTACTGCAACACATGACGGTTGGCATCAGAATACAGAAGTTTGGAATCACTTGCTTCAACGATGTACATTCAAGTGTAGCTTCCTTTTAAATCGTTAACTTCAGCAAAATCGCACCAGGGACCTTTCACAGCAACTGATTCCAGTGTCCCAGAATAATTATGCCACATTGTATCTTGTACAATTGTGATCTGGCGAACACAGGACAACAGCCATAGAAATATAGGTATACACAGCTGGGATGCAACAAATACGGTAAATTACTTCCGTAAGAAAAAATACGATAGTGCGTGTAACTAGTAAATTGTCTATCACAATAAGTGTAGTGATCAAAGGTCAAAGCATTACATTTCCTTGAATTTTTAAAGAGTAAATCTAATAATAATAATAATTAGTTTTTATATAGCATAATTCGTGAAAATTGTATCTCAATAACGCTTAACATGGCAACCCACACAAACAAAACAGAGCACAGGCCACGTGGGGTAACGTCAAACACTCGCGCACTCACACTCCCGACATCTACAAAAGTCCAGGGAATAATCACAGCAATAGCTGGATTTCATACAGCATTATATTACTCTTTGGTTCTTTCGGTAAAGTCACGTAGGTCCATATGGACGCTTGTGTTGCACCCGAAACGTCGTGATTTATTTTATACCTACGTGACTTTACCGAAAGAACCAAAGAGTATGGATTCCTGCAGTCACGAAAACTTTAAATCAGCATTATATTACATCTGTCTCAACCGCCATTAGCTTCCTCTGTTCATACTTTGTTAAATTGTTGGATTTTGGTGCAGTGCTAAAGCAGTGGTTACATGACTGTTTGTGTGTGCAGGCGGGGAGTGGTAGTCTGGCTGTTCGCGCCCTGCGCTACGAACCCAGCGACCTGATTTCGATTCTCGCTCACGGCCAACACCAGTGACGATTATTTGAACCGGTCTTGGGCCTCCCCTAGGTCGACTCAGCCTAAAATGAGTACCTGGTTCAGTGTGTAAACTTCAATACTTGGGAGATAAAGGCTGTCGCGCGTGGAACTGGCCATCCAGCCCCTCGTGTACCGTTCTGGTCTTCATAGGTACTCGCTAATTATCAGCACTTGCCTCAAAAAGTATGTTCAGACTATGCATGGGATCTTTGTTTCTGTTCTGTACAGGTGCCGATGTGAACAAGGACGATGGGGTTTATTCTAGATTCTTCACGCAGTTCACGGAGACTGGCCGTTACAGCGTGAAGGTGAAGGTGACGGGTGAAAGGACGACCGCGAGGCTGGCTCCACAAAGACACTCCCGGGCCTCCTTCATTCCGGGCTTTCGCAACGAGAAAGGTGGGCCTGCACAGTCTGCACGCTTAAGCAATTGCAATACTGGGCAATGTCATACTTGATCAGCGGTTCTCATACCTGTCAACCCCTTATCAGTGCCTACCTTATTACAGACCAATTCAGACCTTATTGGTCACCTCGTGCACTTAGAAATCTCAACGTTCATCAAGTCCCATTACAAGGGAGAAACACAAACAAATAGACAATTTTTTTGGCCCGCATTGAAACGGCTGTACGCCATATGGACCTGAAAACTCAATTTCCCTGGACAAGAATACGGGTAAACCATATGGATTGGCAGGTATGGGTTCTCAATCTGTGGATTGTGACCCCCTCCAGAGAAGCCCTTCTGAAAGGAGGAGGTGCAAGGCTGCAGGTTGTGGCATGGATATCGCGTAGAACACATTTCAAATGTGCACGGCGAATGTCAATGCGGTACCGCGTCCACAAAACACACTGATACGCAACATGAAACAAATCCCTTATGAACACTGTGTCGACTAGACATCTGGTGTGCGCTCAATGAGCCGAGGGCTCTGCATTGGCGCGACGAGGAAGAATTTGACTCTTATTGAACGGTGTGTTTTTACTGTGGCTCTGTATTATAATTAACTCTGCTCCTGTCCCCACCAGGGGAGCTGGAGGTAACGCAGGTGCCAGCACCGGCGGGTGGGCAGGTACTGGTGCCGAGCGAGGACTTCAGTCGAGTGGCATCGGGAGGCTCCTTCCAGGCGACGGTGCCGCCGGGCGGGCCCCCGGACATCTACCCTCCGTGCCGCGTGCTGGACCTGACGGCCGAGTTGCTGGCGCCGGGGATCGTCAGCCTGGCTTGGACGGCGCCCGGGGACGACGCCGACTTCGGCCAAGGTGCCCCAGCCACACAGCCTCACACGCACGGCGCTTACAGCTTCTATCGACCACAAAGACAAAGGTCTCCCCGTATAGCCTTTAACAGACTGCTGAGGCAAGTGCTGTCAGCGAGTAGCACCTCTGAAGGCCGACACGACGCACAAGGGCACTGACGGAGCCAGTGGGGGGGTAGGGTGGCATGTGCCTCCCCAATGATCCGATCGAAGTTCCTAATTTCGGATAATTGGGGTTTATTAGTAATAAATCGGCATTTTGCGACCCCCACTGCCACTGTGTTGCATATTATTACGTGCCAGGGACTCTATGAGATGATAGGACAATAGTCTGAGTCCAAAATTGGCAATAAGTAACGGCAAAGCAGATATAAGTGACTCAGAATTGTGCGCAGTTGCGTATACAGCACACGACTTCCCTGAAGGCATTCACCTTCAGCGAGCGCGATGCCGATCACACAACGCGGTTTAAATTTGACCCTCGATCGATGGCTGCGCCATCGCCACACACGCATCGAATAAAAAGCAAGGGACAAGTCCTTACTTACTAACAACTCCTTACTTACTAACAACTCCTTACTTACCAACAACTCCTTACTTACTAACTCCTATCATTTTGCATTGCTGGAGGGGTTGCCCCCCCCCCACCTCAAAATCCTGGCTCTGCCATTGCACAAGGGGATGAGTGGCCAGAACCATTCCTGGCTGCTTTTGTCTCCCCTCCACAATGCTGATGTTTAGATACCACACCAGGTACTCATCTAAACACGAGTCGACCTAGGGGGGGGCTGAGGAATGTTTCAGATAATCGTCACTGGTGTTGGCCATGAGTGGGAATCGAAATGTCTTTCTACTGCCCGATTTGATTTCAGTCAGCAGTTTTTGCAGAACCTCGTGGTTGTAGAGTTTATGTATACGAATTACATTGTATACGAATAATACAAATAGAAAATAATAGATTCTTCCACACACCATTAGATACGCGTATTGTGTGAGAGAGTTTATTTTTGATGAGTCATTTCATTGCTACATGCCCATTGATTCACTGATAAAGTACCAAATGTTGTACCACATGTCTACATCCTCTCGGCTTCGGTAACATTCTCACCTGCCCCTTTTGGACATTTGTAAAAAATAGAGCTTTATAGCTCATCGGATTCCTCTAGTATAAATAAAGCTTTAGGAAATTGCTTTGCTGTTTAGAAAGTCCACGTGTGAAACAAGACCAATCAATGCTAATTCAAGGTGTATCCTCCGCCTACCGTTTTCAGCGTTGCGCTACGAGATAATAACGAGCGACAGCCTGGATGCCTTGCTGGAGGCCACCGAGAGTAGCCTTGTGCCGAACGAAAACGTCACCCGAGGAAACCTGAGCGCACCGGCAATGGCGGGCGACCTCGAGGCATTCAAAGTCACGGTGGGCCAGCTCGTGGCCGGCAACGTGCGCTACTTCTCCGTCAGAGCCATCGACAAGGTGGACAACTGGGCGAACATCTCGAACGTGGCCTCGGTGTTCCTCGCCTCCGAGCCGCCGTCACGCGCTCTCTACATAACCATGATGGTCGTCGTGACATTCGTCTCGACGTTCTTCCTCCTCGGCACCATGGTGATGATCGTGCGCTTCGCGAGTAAGAGATGCTGCCGCGCCAAGGAGAGGGACGAGGAAGCCAAGAAAATGCCACATTACTGAAACAAGCGACGCTGTAATACGATAAAAGCGGACTGAAATAAAAGCGGCGCTTATAGCCAATCAAAGAAAGGGAAATGAGGGGGGCGTGCCACTTTACTATGACGTCACCATCTCGATCTAGGAAAGAATCGCATTGGTTACATGTTCTTTGATTCTGCTTATTGATTTGCCCGCGGAATTTGAAAAAAGTGAATGTATTATTTTTTAGATTATTAATTACAATCTCCATTTTGTGCAGCTATTTCCAGCACGCCGCCTCACGCCGCTCCCCACACTTGCCCTTAAACGGGTTTTTTTATCTCATTAAAACCCCTTACTTTTGCTCCGTTAACGGCGGGTTTTAAGTTGAAATAAAAGCGGACAGATTGAAATCGATCTTTTGGGGGCGCTGTGGTTGATTTACAGCAGCGTTTTCCTTAACGCCCCATAACGTTCTCTCTACGTTTATGAAGCATTGGAGAGCTTCCTTTTATTTCTCCAGCGGACAATCGTGATAAAAGTGCATCGTGTAACACTACACGACGCAATTCATGTTTCTAAGTTCTGTTAAAAGTGCGCTGTATATCTGCACGTGATCATTGTGTCCTATCCTGATCTCTAAATGTTTTAGCCAAAAGAGCATCCGCTTGTTATAGAACATGAGAACACCAGGTGTAATTATATTACTGGAATTCTATAACATTGTTGACGTATACGCTCGTTATTACATTTGGAGTGGAGTGATGCATCGATGGCCGGCACTATGAACCGGAAACCTGAGCTCGATTGTTGACCACGGCTCACATCAGTGGCGACTGGTGCCAGAATCAGTCCTGCCTACTCGCCCGCTCCCTCCCCTTTGATCAGCATGGTGTAGCATGGTCACACAATCCAAACACCGTGGCTGGCATGGCAAACGAATGTGAATGGGTATATTAATTAGTATTTAAATTGGTGGAAATGTGCAAGATTGAATGCATTATCTTTATAAATACGTTTGGGTTTGTGCAGTATATTGAACCCACTTTTTGACTTCATGGGTCGGATACAAAGATGTTCCGTGTTGCTGTTCCATATGTCACAGCAGGTAATATATATTGTACATTGATTAAATACCTTTAATAGTCACGTTGGTACATTGCTATTCGTTATTACCTTCACGTTTCCACATCTGCCCTCAAGTTGAAAAGTATCCGAATAAGCGTGGACAAGCACGTGCTTGGAATCGCACTGAAAGACAGAAAGAGAATTACGTGAATGGGAGAACATTCGCAAGTTGGAAATGTAAAATTGACTGTTTACGAGTTCATAACTGTGAAACAAAATCGCACGGTGGTTTTCAACACAGTAAATTACTTTTTTATCTCTATGTGCCAATCTATGTTATCCTTTCAAGGCTACACAACCGAAGTTGCTTGCCCAATGTGCGGCATAATGTCCTCTGCTTAACCCATCACCCCAAGCTTCCTTAATCGGAGTTCATGCTTCGCACAGTGTCTCTTTGTTTCTCCTATTTGCACTATGAGGCAATGGACGATATCATACAGAGAGAAATTCGACGTTAAAAATCAAACGTTCAACTCTGAGCAGTCATAATGCATCATTCAAAGTTTTATTTTCTTCTTCCCTGCTGTGGTACTGAGAAAAAGTCAAGGAAGTTCCAATGTACCGAAACTATAAAAACTATATAGATATAAAAAAACACATTTATACCAGGTCAGGCCCACTGAGCTACACAGCTTTTTCGAAGCGATCTGGCAACAAATGATAACCCACTGATGTGGCTTATCACGTGGAAACTTATAGCAGCCAAATACTTTAAACGCATGTTTCTAAATATGGAGGGAAAAACCGGAGGACCTGGAGAAAAATCCACGGGACCACGGGGAGAACACGCAAACTCCAAATATACAGGAGGCGTCACGGTCGGGATTGAACCCACGACCTCCTGCATACCAGGCGAGCTAGTTAACATATCACCACCATTGTGCCTTTCAGTGCTGATTGAAACAATCAGCATTGAAATTAATTATACAGCAGTGATGTCCTTATTGCCTGCTGTAGTTTTGTTTATTAAGCATTTGGGAGGTTGTTGGACGGTTTTTTTCTATCTTGACAATCATTATTAAAGTTTATGATGTAACACTATGCAATACAAATACCCCAATTTGATTCTGCACAGAAGCCCCCTTACTATGGCTTAATGTCCTTTTTTATTATGCTCAGTTTACAGGTTCTTCCCTATTTAAAAGCTGGCAGAACCATGCCTGACATGCCTCTAGCACTTCATCCTTCTCAAAGTTCTACCTCACTACTGTCTCTAACCGGCTCTAGCCCTGTATTATTAAACATATGCTCTCCCCACAATCGGTAACTTGTGATGAGCATCTCCCATCTCCTCTGCTTGCTCCTGCCAATAAAGTCCAATGCTGTGCCAGTTGCTCTTCAATTTCCTTCCCCGTGATCTTTCAGCATAGTCTGCATCCTCTGCTCTCCTTTCATCTTCTCGCCAAGCATCTTCTGATTCACATCCCTGGTCATTTACATGGCGTTTTCATGTTTGAACACATATATACTTGTACGTCTGACCTACCCTAGAGTATATGACTTTTGCTGCTGCCTCAACTGCAACTGTCTTGAAGCCTTTCCAAATGTGCCTCTGCTACCTCCGGCTCTTTGGCTGGTGTCCCAGGTCAGGTTTATGATGGGCCATATAAACCACTTTGGAAGAGAAGAGAGATGAACGTGAGTGTAAAGAAAATGGTATTTGAAGAGGGAGTTAGATATGCATTACTGCGTAGATCAGAAAAATGGAAAATAAGTGCTGGAATGTTGAATGTTGACACAGGCGTTTGAGACAGATGTTATAGAATTTGGTAGCAACACAGGGTAAGCAATAATAATAATTTCATTTTATGTAGCGTCATTTATGCAATTTCATCCCACAATGCTGCACATACATTATCCAATTTCGTACACAGCAATGCAGAAGTCTGGAAGAGAACATGGCAGGCAAAGTGTTGTAGATATGATTAGGTAAAACATGTGTGTAAGATGGGGGAAGGTCGATTGCCAACACAGACATTCGAGTGGTTTCCAAAAGTTCAGCGACCAAGGAGAAGACCTAATACCAGATGGTGGGAGACTGTTAAGGTAAATCTTGGAGGTCGCATCTCTACTGTGCAACAGCTGCGGGATTTGGCAGTGAGTAGAAGGCGTTGGAAAAGTTTGGTGGCATCAATGGCCTTGGTCATGATGACATCTGGATCTTATGTCTACGTTGGGCGATGCGGCAATTCTGATTTTCAAGACTGACTGATTTGCTTCCGGCAAATAAATATTAACAAATAACACGAATCATTCAAAATTTAAACAACGCTGAAATGCAGCAAATTATTTTCCAACATCCTGCATATCTGTATCTACTTGAATCATCATTATAAGCTTCCTTAATCATAGTGCATGCTTTGCACAGTCTCTCTTTGTTTCTCCAAGTTGAATTATTAGTCACTAGATATTACACAGCAAAAAAAATCCACATGTAAAAACACCCTATGAAACAGTCATGCAAGCAAAATAATCCCACATCGTGATGACTTCCAAGGGAAGCAGATAATCCTGATTAAAATAACATCATAATACACCAGTGTCATTCACATGTGACTAAGCTTTTGGGGAAAAAAGCACGATCAAAGCAACTGCAGCACTGAACTCTTGACCTTGAGGATTTCCAGGAAACAATATATTCAGTGGGTAAGATTCCCATTGAACATTTCTTAAAAAAATAATAATGTCTTGGCCCTTTGGCAATCAAACTCTGGACGAAGGCCTCCCTACACTGTGTCGGGCATGGCGCCTGTTTAACCGTACTATTTCACTTCGCTGGTCAATGTGGTTTAGTGATGGGGGGGGGTTAAAAAGAGTTCAGATATCAATCGCCACTGATTGTCTACTGTCGCCGATAATCAAATTCGGATCGCTGGGTTCGTATGTTAGCACCAAACTCTTCTGAAACGCAGGTGAAAAGTTTTGGAAACATGCACACACAGTGACACACTTTTGCACCTAGAGGCTAAGGGAATGAATGCAACAAATGAGAGTGACGATGCATTTGAGAGAGTAAAGTTTAGCGAGACAGGCAGTGACACAAGAGGCAATAGAATGTAAAAAAGACAAAAAAACGAGATGTAAAATGTAAATGATTACTTATTAATTGCTGCGGGGTGAATTATTGAATGCCTACCTAACAGTACAGTATTTTGAGGTCTATCTTTAAGCTACAATGTCTTATGGTTGTTATTGTTTGACCTGCATCCCACTGGGATTTTTGCACACAGCGTTGAAATGCGGTGTTTTTTCTGGAAGTCTTTGCTGTTTTTTCCAGGATTTTTTCTGTTGCACATAGTCACTTTAAGATGTTTTCTTGTTCATGTTTTTGTTTTGTTGCGGTTGCACCCGAGTCAAGAGCCGCATGGCTCACAGGGCTATACCTAATACATGAAAACTAAATGAAACTGAAAACTATCATAAGCCAGCAGTATCCCAGTAAACATGCAACGTTGGGTCAACAATGGGCAACGCTCCATGTCGACTAAAATGTGGGTACAGGAGCATATGGGTCGTTTTGCAAAACATTCACACGGACGAACCGTGGTTAACACCCCTTGTTCAAAGTCAAGTTTTCCCACACCCAGGAGTTTCTGACTCACACCGCCATTTCGCGGACTTTACTGAATTGTAAAATTGCAGTCTACTGAAGTATTTATGAACTACAGACCATTTACCCAATGGTCACACTCTTTGATGAGAGCAGGCAGACATGTAGTCCATCAGTCCGGACCAAATATTTCACTTGTTGGTAGCAGTTGTGGTGGCATAACTTTAATGCTTCTGTACGCATGTAGAACTTTATGCACACCGTACACAGCCAAACCGCGCTCATCTCGTTTCTTAATGTGGCTAACAACAGCGAATTGTGTTATACTGTAACCATGTCAATTGAGTGGCCAATAAAATAATCAACTACTATTTTCCATATAAATAAATCGCTAATACAAAAAATTGTTCAACCTTAGGTGGTACCGATTTCTCTTCTGTACCCATGGGCTAAAAAGAGAAGCAAATTTTCCCAACTGAATAGACTTCTCCTCGGCGTAGTGTGTTGCATGTTGCGTATGTGTGCACACTTTGCACAACTTCTGCCAAAACAAGCGCTCGTGCCCGTTGCGAAATATCTGTGATAGGGTTAGGGCTAAGAGACTCGCTGTAATCATGTCCGCTAGGGGCTGTTATGGTGAAGCAGGGTCACCACCGCCCCACGAAGTTTTCAAAGAAACGAGCGAATTGACGGGAAAACACGGAAGTGGCCATTGGCTGATTTAGCCATTCCACAACAGAGAGGGAACGTAAGAGGGGTGTGTTCACTGCTTGGCCGCTGTCACTAATTTTCACATGCTCTCGGTCTTGTCAGTTACTATCTCACTTAAACCCAGGCTTGTGACCATTATTGCTCTGTTTGTTTTATCTTTGGCAATGGTGGTGATATCGTGAGGCTATACATTACAGTATAATCATTGAGAGATAAACAAAAAATTAATTCTCCCGAAAATTACTTCCTCTTACTGTGCTATTGTGCGCGCAAGATAACAAAGCTGAGTCGTTCAACGGGGCAGACTTCAACTGCCACCCACGTCTCGCAGTGTTTCAAGCAAACTAATAAATACATCATTATGCTTCCCGCAAACACCGTTTCCTCCTCGAGGTAAAAACAAAATCACCACCAACCACCCCCCCCCCCCCCCTTCCCTCTCAACACGGTGCCGGTAAATATCGCCACAGTTCACCAAGGCAGCAAGGATGAACGTTCCCAAAAAGCGTGCTCCGCTCTTCGTGTTCACCGCGATGCTGTTCGCGGCCGTGGTGGTGCTGAGCCACGGCTCGCGAGTGAAGTTGATCAACAACGGCTACGAGGCTCTGGTCATCGCCATCAACCCCGCCGTGCCGGAGGACCCCCAACTCATCGACGCTATCAAGGTGAAAGCCCACCCCCCCCCCCCACACCCTACATGTGTTTGGTCAGTGTTATCTCTCTCTGCTTGTGTGTCTCCGTGTCTGTGTTTCGTGAGTCTCTCTCAAATTTAGTTCGACCTGATGACGGTTTGATCGTGTTGCAATCAAAACGTCGTACTCTTATTATTTAATTTACTTTCTTTCTACGTGACTTTACCGAAAGAACCGAACAGTAATTCCTGCGGTCACGAAAGCTTCAAATCAAATCGAACAATCGTCGTTCAAACCATGCAACGTTTCGGTGACCTCCCCCACCCCCCAACCCCTCCGCCGCCGCTTACCTCAAAGGCCACGATCTCGTGAGACTTTATGATTGTATTCTCTTCTCCTCGGGCATGATGGCAGCAATGTGTTGAGGCGCCAAATGACAACGTCGAGCTCTGCTCGCCACCACGTCGGATTGTCGTGAGATGTGTTGCCACTGCGCCTCTCCTGTGAGGGAGCCACAGACTGTTGTACAGGGTGGTCCAGATGTGATGTGACCCCCCCTACCCCCCACCCGCCCTCTCCACCCCCAATTAATGGACCCCTAATTTTTGTTCCTTTGCATATTCATTAATATTTTAAATGGTACCTTTAAAAAAAATTTGAGAAATAAATGAGGGGGGGGGGGGGTTGGGGGTCACAATGCACGTGGACCACACCGTGCACTGGTAAAGTATATGATATATTGTTTGGGTGGCGAATTGTAATGAACGAAACAAATAGGGGGAAGGTATCGGAGTACGGGTCACGTGGAGGTGACTTGAGGACTACGTGAGCGACAACGCGGAATGCATTAACAGCAACACGAGAGCTTGGTTTCCACACAGGGCAGCGGACGGCACGAAGCGTAAGAGACACACGGTGGAGGTGGTGATGCTTTGAGGAGCCTTGTGGGCTTTTGTGCCTTTAAATATTCGTTCGTGAGGGAGGTGTGGTGCCGCATGGGGGCTGTTGTTGATGTACCGATGAGGGTTGAGGGTGCACGCCAGTGTCTGCGAGGAGGAATGCCAAAGCCAGGAGGTGCCTGTGCGACTAACAGTCCAGTACTGTATTGTCGCTATCGTGGTCTCTCGGGTTCACAGCCGCTTGTACAAGTTTAAACAATTAAAAAAACGCCATCACGAAAAGCGTCGGTAAACATTTTAAATGTTTTATTTAATTCATTCTTTCTCCCCCCCCCCCCCCCATGATGTGTATTATTTGTGAGCAAGTGTGTTGTAAGGATTGTGCGTTATCACAAATATCGCCCCCCCCCCAAACATCTCTTCAAAACCTATAGGGGCAGACCTCCCTTAGCGCTCAAGATGCGTTCCTGGAGAAGTGGGCATCGAATTAGCGCTGTGAAATGAGCCATTGTACCATCGTATACTACATGGGGCAGTGCATTCCCGACATGGTTACTTCTTTCGTATGAGCAATTTACGAGGGATGCATTGGGGTATCGGTAATAGCGCAAATGATACAGATGGTAAACATTATTTCGGAAATAAAGTAATTATTTTATTATTACATAAACATTGCGCACTGCAAGGCAGCGGTGGAAGGCGAGGTTGGAGGAGCCTCCTGCACTCCCAATCAGGGTCTCAATGATGCCCTCGGTCACACTTTCTGTGGTGAGGTTTTTTTTTGGTGGGGCCTGAGACCCCTGCCGTGGTCTCGTGAGTATCTCACCTGGCTAAACCCGCTGCAATAACATTGTGTTGAAAAAAGTAGATTTAAAAAAATCATTACCACGAATCGTGATAATCGAGTCGCAGGAGGTGGGTGGGGGTCTGGTTGGCTCAGGGTACGTCGCTTTCATTGGCTGAGCGAATAATGGGAGTGGGTACGTCTTCTCACTCGTAAGCGCTTTGTAGATATTTTGATTTATTTTTGTTTACGACAAAAAATCGCCAGGATAACGAGCGCTGTAACGAATCGTCGTTCTACGGGATTGCGCTAAATGGTGTCTGCTTGTACTCATACCGTAAAACAAAAAAAGTGGTATCAAATTTCTTCAGAAAAATATATCTTTAAAAAATCCCACTAGAACTTGATAACAGCGTGGGAATAATGTAGAACTGTTAGAAGTAAAATGCATTTTACAATTGTTGATTTCCCCAAAAACGTGCAATCCAGTATATGTATACATACTTAGAATGACATTCAGTAAAAAAAATCGAACGGTTAAAATGTCGAAGCATTAGCCACTGTAATTTATCACTTGCATCCCATCGCCTCATCCTGGTACAGTTTCCGATGTGCCCAATTTTAAAATAATGTTGGATCAATAATTAGTTGTAAAATACTCTATATTCAGGGTTAAGCCGTCTGCCTCAAGTTGCACACATCCCGGTTAGATACGTTCCTTAAAAAGTCCAAGGAAATTATTAATCAATAGTAACGACCCTCTTTGTCTGACTTGGCATCCCTTCCCATTCCTTTTTTTCCTTTCACGTTATCCTTTATCACTCCCCTTTCTGTCGTGCGCCGCAGGTAATACATTTTATATTGCCCGTATTACATTTACAACATGTTATCTAATCACTTGACCTAAGACCTTATCACCCTGAGTTCTACCATTCTCATTAATTTTCAGAAATTAATCAGTCAGGGTTGAGCCTGGATAGTACTTGGATGGATAACTGCCTTTGCATATTGGATTTTGTGTCACGGTGGCAAGATGTTAATGACCTTGCCTGGTATACAGGAGGTTGCGGGTTCGAGCCCGACCCTGACACCTGCTGTATATCTTATCGCGTGGATTTCTCTCCAGGTCCTCCAGTTTTTTCACTCCACATTTAGAAACGTGCATTTACAGTATTTGGCAGCTATATATTTCCACACGATAAGCCACTTCATTGGGGTATCATTTGTGGCCAGGTCACTTCTGAAAAAGCGCTATATAGTTCAGTGGGCCAAACCTGGTAAAATAAAAAAAATAGTTTCTAGTTCTAGGTTTGAGCTGCACACTCTGCATGAGAAGACAGTGCAGCATGGGGGGAAAAGTACACCAATCTATCTGTGCTGACATTTGGGTCGGTTTTCTCTCGGTGCTCTGGTTTCCTCCCACGTGCCAAACACTGTATTACTCTTTGGTTATTTCGGCAAAGTCCAACTGATGACGATTGCTTGCGTTGCGATCGAAACGTCGTGATCTATTATTTTTTATACCTACGTGACTTTACCGAAAGAACCAAAGAGTATGGATTTCTGCAGTCACGAAAGCTTAAAATCAAGATTAAACACTTTATTATCATTATTGTTCGTTTCTTAATCCGCTTGTCCTGGTGAGGGTCGTGGTGGTAGCATGTTGAGTAGGGCGGTCCAGACCTCCCTTTTCCTGGCAACAGACTCTAACCCTACACTACTATACACTGTACACTACATTATACACTACTCTACATCACTATACACTTCACTAATATACACTATAAACGACACTAACACTACTATACACAGACTCTAGCTCTTCCTGGGGAACTCCCAGGCGTTCCCAGGCCAGCTGAGCGACGTAGTCCCGCCCGGGATCTTTGGGAAGAAGAAGCCTCTTCAACAACTCCTGATACTCCCTGTGAGGCTTTCCTGGGTAAATAAACGGAATTATTTTCTGAAATTCGCACGCGTGTTCTTGTTCTTAAAACAACGTAACTCAATCAGTAAACACAATACTGCATACGAATGGTCGGAAATAAAATGCACACACTTTCACTTTGACACGTAGGAGGCTTTCGCGACCAATATCCTCCATAAAAGAGGTTTTTTTTTGGGTTAGATCGCGTAAATATATAAATGTTGTGTCGTTAAAACCCGCCACCACCCGACACAGCCAACTAGTAAGGGTTGTCACGTAAACAGTACGTGGCCAATTCGTCACTAGCACAGCACACCGGTGTGTTGGAGAGCCAAGCCACAACATTTACAATCCGAGTACGACATTTCGCCAGTAATTACAACCAGCTTCATCAGGCGACAGACAGATTTGTGGAGAAGCCCACCTGATTCGTTCCTCATGTAGTGACATCGGGGATGTCACTGTGTGGTGCCGGCCCTTGAGGGCCGTGGCGTGCGATGTACTTACGTCGTGGACAGCACCGTGTGTGTTGCTGAGTGAGGCCAGCTCTAGCACAGCACGGCGCGCGATGCACCGTCATCGCGTACACCCCGTAGGCGGGTGTAGTACCAGCCCTAGCGGGGCTTGGTGAGCGCTAGGATAGCGCAGGCACCACGCATGGCGTGCAGTGCGGGCTCCCACAAGGGGGAGCGGGAGAGTGTCAGCCCAGGGGCAGGGTTGGCCCGGGCCATGGCACTCTAGTTGACGGAGCCGGGGGGGGGGGGGGCGACGGAGCCGGGGGGGAGGGGGGCGACGGTGCGAGCAGAGGGAGCCGACACTGACTTTCTCATACACCATACACTGACTCACTCACACATCATGCACTGACTCGCTCATCATGCGCTTACTCACTCACGCATCATACACTCGCACAACCACTGACCCATTCACTCATCATACACAGGTTCACTCATCGTGTGCTGGCTCACTCGCACATCATACACCGACTCACTCATCATGCGCTGACTAACACATCGTGCGCTGACTCACACATCATACACTCACTCACACTGCCGCTGACTCGCTCACACATCATACACTGGGAGTATCGTGCTGCCAGCTATGGCTGCAGGTTTTGTCGTACATGTTATGTATATCGTTTATTGTTAAATTTAAAATCACAGTTCCTATGATTACTGTTGTTACATTGTTTTTATAGCTTTATGTTGGTCTGGTTGTGGTGTAATAGTTTTCTGCAATGTAGATTCATATTTTGCTTGTTACGGTTGCAACCGACTTAAGAGCCGCATGGCTCACAGGGCTATACCTAATAAATGAAACTTGAAATAAAACGTGAAACTTGAAAGACACGTGATCTGGAGTGTCCACAGAGAAGACCCCAGGTGGGGGGGGGGGGGCTAGAGGGTGATCACGTGTCCAGGGAGAGCTCTCGAGAGGGATCGAGATGGAGCTAGAACGCTCGAGAAGGTGGGCGGGGCCTGGGCGGAGCGGCCCGACCTGGAAGGATATAAGGTGGGTCCCTGAGAGGGACCGGGGGGGGGGGGGGGTCGCTTTGTTCTACAAGCTGGAAGCTCCACGTCTACAAGCTGGAAGCTCTACGTCCTACGAGGCATCAACACGTGGTCGGGGACCCGAGCGAGGGTCTGACCCTTCGTAGCTATAACTCCTACGTATAGTGTAGGTAGCTGGGTGGTCACCACCCTAAGCTGTATCTGGTAAAGGGGCAGTTACCCCTTTGTATATACGTGTTACAATAAATGTGTTGCCTCTAAAGAATAACGTCTGCGACTCAGTTGGAATCACTACACTTATATAGAGGCGTAGATGTGGTGACCAGACTTGTGCCCTCTTCTTGCACAAAGTGGGGAGGGGGGGATTAATGAGACAACATACATTATGCATGCACATTATTCGAGCCCTTTGATCGAGTCCTTCCTGTCCATTGTGTATATTAAAATAGCCATACCTTATTGAAGCATGGTGGCCTGTTTAGGCATGCAGCACTAAGTCGGCAGCTATCCGAACAGGTTAAAATAGGGATTACCGTTGGAACGGCTATTTTAATATACACAATGGACAGGAAGGACAAGATCAAAGGGCTCGCATAATGCACATGAATAATGTACGTTGACTCATTAATCCCCCCCCCCTCCCCCACCTTGCGCAAGAGCGCACAAGCGTGGTCACCACATCTACGCCTCTATATAAGGAACGAATCAGGTGGACTTCTCCCCAAATCTGGCTGTCGCCTGATGAAGCTAGTTGTAATTACTGGCGACACGTCGTACTCAGATTGTAAATGTTGTGGCCTGGCTCTCCAACACACCGGTGTGCTGTAATAGTGACGAATTGGCCACGTTCTGTTTACGTGGCAATCCTTACTAGCTGGCTGTGTCGGGTGGTGGCGGGTTTTAACGACACATTCATATATTTACGCGATCTAACTCAAAAAACCTCTATTATACACTTTCACTTCTTTTGTAAGTTGCAGCATGTATTTCATTTGCAAGGAAACTAACCATTACTGCTTTGGATAAATTAATATGCAGTTTTTGTATCAGTTAACTGAAGTTTGGTTGTGGTAAGGGTAAACAAGACATGTGGTTGAAGGTTGTGTGGGATATTTATCACCTACATGCAGTGTATGATGACAATTTCGATAACATACCCACAGCATATACTGGGAAAAATACAAAACTTTGCTAAACAGGTGCAAGTCAGATATCACTTGCGGCTGATTGTTTGTGATGACCGATGAATGAACTCGGAACACCAGGTTCACAGCAGCAGTACACAAATCACTGTGCCCTCTCCTCACCCCATATGACATTATAACGGTGAAAAACAATGACAACAACTTTAATTAATGAGCATGCTACTGCCCATTACATGCCTAGAAGGCAGGAAATTGGTAAGAGGGTCATCACATTGTCATGCATTTACCTAAGAATTGTTTGGATGTTATTGCACAGTCCTGTTTGGTTCCTCAACTACATAATATAAAGATGTGAGCAATAAAATATAATTTTAAGCCTTGTGTAGGATTCCTTGGCTTTGTCTACTTTATCGAAGAGAAAAAAACATAAACATTCAGTAAAACGAGAAGATGGGTACAAACTGAGCAATCATTGGAAGGATATTATTAACGAGGTAAAGTCATAACTTGATGTGATGTTTCCATCCTTCCTGCCGTTGTTTAGCAGTTATTTCCGACTCTCTGAATTACCGCATTTTTCCGCATATAACCCGCGGGGTATACCACTTTTAACAAACAAAACAAAACCCTGCGGGGTATATGGAGGTGCGGGCTATCCCAAAATTTTTTTACAAGTGTGATATGTCGAGTCGTTTAAAAATTTTCATGGTAGAACTATCCACTATGCAGCACTTACCTTTGACTAAAGCACTGCTGAATAAACCACTCACACTAAAATTGCACGTGTTATCACGTTTTAAATGAATTGTTTGTACAATTAAACGACAATGTTTGAAGTGCGCGCACTGTTTACCGGCGACGGGAAAGCTGGGGGGAGAGAGAGGTGGGGGTTGGGGGGTGGGGCAGCTGGGGGGAGAGAGAGGTGGGGGTTGGGGGGTGGGGCAGCTGGGGGGAGAGAGAGGTGGGGGTTGGGGGGTGGGGCAGCTGGGGGGAGAGAGAGGTGGGGGTTGGGGGTGGGGCAGCTGGGGGGAGAGAGAGGTGTGGGGGGAGCGAGGCAACGGCGTTACCGTAGTGCCGCTATTATCTGCGCAGTGCGCAATCTACCAGTGCTAAATCTGTACTTATCTACCAGTTATGTGTTACTTATTTATTGGATATTTACTTTTGTTACTTATTTACTGTTTTAAATTCACTCGTTTGCGGTTAGTTTTTTTTTGTGCACGTTATGATTTTAATGTTAACGATTGATAGTGGAATGTATTACAATTTAAACTTCGTATTAATATGATGGAATGAAGCTGCGGTAACGACGTTAAATATATGAATGCGTGCAGGGTATATGGAGGTGCGGGCTATCTGAATGTTTTTTACACAAAACGCTATTTTGCGGGGTATATGCGTCTGTGGGTTATATATGCGGGAAAATACGGTACATCACCTTGTTGAATGTCTTTACATTAACAGACTAAGGTCTCACTAACATAGCCACCGCTGCTACCTTTAACCTCGATGTAATGGTAGCTCTCGCTGTTTAATAGGCTGTATGTCTCACTGGCGCGGCCACCGTTACGGTGGTTCTCTTGCGTTGATACGCTGGCCTCTCACTGTGCATCAGCCTACGCCGCAACTTGTGTTGCCCACGAGGTAGCGCTAAGCCCGGTCCTTTGACACAGACACGCTATCTTCCCATTAAACTCGTTTACATTAACATGCCAATCTCTCCCTTGAACGCAGCTGCTGTGCGTGCGTGCGGTGACGGGACTCCTTTCCATCTCTGACCCCGCCTACTTACCCTTGGGTGACGCCCACCTCAAACCTCTACATATAACCTCGTGTTGCAACAGCCCTTTCTTGTTCAGCAGTTCTACTGCTGTATCTTCCCACCTGATGATGATTGCTTGTGTTGCGATTGAAACGTCGTGATTTATTATTTATTTTTCTACTTACGTGACTTTACCGAAAGAACAAAAGAGTATTCAGTAAAATGTTCTCCCAGTTCCATTGTTGTAAATACATTATATTGTATTGCTTTAATGCATTGTGAATATTGATTCTGCAGGATATGATCACAAATGCATCCTCTGACTTGTTCAGAGCAACAAAGTATCGTCTCTACTTCCGGAATGTCAGTATTCTTATTCCAGCATCATGGAAAACAAATTCAATCTACAACCGGCCAAAGTCTGAGTCCTATGGAGCAGTAAGTACTTACAAAAACACTGGCATTGACACGCAGTGAATATTAAAAAATACTAAAGTCTTTAAAATATATATTCTATATGCATACATATATATTAAAATATATTCTATATTCATTATTTCAATTGCTTTAACCATAATATTCTATCTATAACTGGATTCCATAATACAGGTATTTTGGGTTTGAACGCGGAAATATATAAATGTGTCGTTAAACCCGCCACCACCCGACACAGCCAATTAATAAGGTTTGTCACGTAAACAGAACGTGCCAATTCGTTACTAGTACTGCACACCGGTGTGTTGGAGAGCAAAGCCACAACATTTACAATCTGAGTACGACATTTCGCCAGTAATTATAACTAGCTTCATCAGGCGCGATCTAACTGAAAAAACCTGTATTATGGATGATATTGGTCGCGAAAGCCTACGCGTTAAACCTATAACTAGATTAATACAAAATCAGACAATTTTATCCAGCACTGAATATGAGTACGATGCGAAATGGAGACATTTCTAGTTGGGTGGTGTGTTTAAAATGTTCCAGCTACAATTGAAAGGATACTCATTCAAATTCCACTGCAGATGGAATCTATTCAGCTCACAATCCATCCAAGACCATACAAATTTAGATAATTTTGGGGTAATTAAGTAATTTAACAAAAACACATTTTCGACGAAATTTAGTAAGGCTCTTTGTATTTGGCAAATAAGATTGCCACCCACATATTAGGTCAATCTGACCTCTCACTCCTCAAATATAGAGCATCAAAGTTTTACCTGGCAACACCACTTGGTGACTCCAGCTATAGTTACTTTCTTCAGTTGACGTAAATAGGTGAGTGAGTCACGTGTCATTTTAAAGCTCTAGAAGAGATCTATATATCTTTTTTTATTCCGTGGAAAAAGTTGAGAAATGGACAAAAGGGTAAAAAAAGAATACATTGCCCCAATTTTTATTGAGTTGGCTTGGGATGACAGATTACGAGATGTCAACAGTGGTCATCCTATGAAGATTATGGATCCTGCCATGGGGATATGGAACTTACTGTATATACCTGGCTCATTGCAACAATCACAGTTTAGCACCACCTCTTTGCTCCTTTGAGCGAAGAACAATATGACGTTTGACTTTGAAATGCGCTGACAGAATTGCCCTGGTCGCTCGCTGTGTGTACGAATGCAGGCAGATGTGCTCATTGTGTCCCGCGATGATCCCACCGACAATTCGCCGTACACACACCAGTTTGGCCTGTGTGGGGAGCCTGGCCAGTACATTCACCTCACTCCTAACTTCCTCCTGACCGACCACTACTTGGAAGCATACGGCCCCCGAGGTACAGTGCCTCAGAGGTTACGTTGACAAATGCGAGCAAGTCTCTCAAGCAGATTGTATGATGTCAGCAACCTTTTTTGGAGCTCTGTTATGAACAGAGGTCGGCACTTTTACGATGATGCGTGAACATTAAAATTTGCCCATTAACTCAACTGCCTGACTCATGATATATGAATTTGTTTATTTCATTTGCAGAGCTTTTTGTCGATGAGACATTGTCATTATTACATTATACACGTGGCTGATTTATTTATGGCAATCTGTTAGAAGTCTTGCAATGTGTGCTGCCCAAAATATGTTTGCAGTCAACATGGCATATCTGTGTATGTTCTCTCATCCACATATTCCTCTTCCTGCCAATCACTGTAATTCCAAGAATGCATATCTGTGCATCATTGCATACTTTCAGATGTCCTCCTATATTATTTTTCAATGCCTATGTTTCTGATCCATATGTAATTGCAGGTAATACACACTGATTAAACACCTTTTTAGACACATTGGTATCCTGCTTCTCATGATATCAGTTTTTAAAAGCACTGCCGTCAAATATGTCCACACTTATTATGTAATTATTCTTTTATTTAAATCGACTGTCGATAAATTCCCTCAGTTTAAATTCTAGCATGTTTCCCAGTTGTTCCTCTGAGCACTGGCGGAACCAGTGGGGGGGGGGGAGGGGGGGTGGCACGTGCCCTCCCCCCACCCCCAATGATCCGATCGAAATCCCTAATTTCGATCGAATCATTGGGGTTTATTAGTAATAAATCGGCATTTTGCGACCCCCACTGTGTAGCATATTATTACGTGCCAGGGACTCTATGAGATGATAGGACAAGAGTCTGAGTCCATCATTGTCAATAAGTAACGGCAAAGCAGTTATAAGTGACACAGAATTGTGCGCAGTTGCGTATCCAGTCCACGACTTCCCTGAAGGCATTCACCTTCAGCGAGCACGATACCGAGCAAACAACACAGTTCAAATTCGACCCTCGATCTTTTTCTGACTTTTTTTTGTTTTGATTTTCTTACATTTATTTTGAGCACAACTTTAAAAGCCATTTTAAAAAAATAGTTCAATAATTTCCTGTAGTTCATTGCCATTGATCCTCATGATTTGGCACCAACAGACCTGAGATGGTTAATTAATATTTCCTCTGTTGACATTCATGCCTTTTATTTCTCCAATATTGTATAATTAATGTTATATTTATTCATTTTACTATTTACTGGTCTCTTTGTTAATAACATCTTTAACGAGATCCATCTTTAACGAGATTCCTCTGACCCAAATAGTTGGGTCAGAGGAATATACCCACACATTCATTCACTTGTCCAAGCAGATGTGGTTGTTCTTTTTTTATCAAACAACAGCCACACATTTGAGGCAATATTATTTTTTATTCCTAATGGATGTTTATTTTTCGTTATTGTCCAGGCCAAATGCAAGTGTGTGTATTGTGTCATAGATCAACTCGGCCTCAAATGAGTGCCTAGTGCGATGCGTAAACATAGCCACGAGGGAGACGAAAGCGGCGGGCGTGGTGCTGGCCACCCACCCCCTCATGTGCCGTGCTGACCTTCATAAGCGTTCGTTAACAGCACTTTGCCCAACAGTCTGGTAAGGTTATAAGGGATTCACTTTGTCTTTATGTTGTGTCACAGGAAAAGTCTTTGTCCATGAATGGGGCCACCTCCGTTGGGGACTTTATGATGAATACAACGACCAAGTGCCCTTCTATTTGGATAAAGGCAAAATCGAGTTTACAAGGTCAGTGTCATGTTTATTCTCCACCGCTTCCTGCATTTTATGTAGCCAGCAGTTAGAGCCTTCAACAGTTCATGTTGATTGAACCAATGCAATGGGTAGATTCTCTCAAGTGGCAGATAAAATCTGGTGGGGGGGGGGGGGGGTTTCCATCAGCACTCCAGTTTTCCGTAAAAATGTTTGTTGGAGATATCACAGCGTTATATTTTTGGTGCACTTTGTCATTTATAACTCTTCATGGTTTACACAGCTCTAATATTTTAGCAAACTTTATCTGATGAATTGCCTTTTAAGAGCAAACGATAATGATCATTTATAGCCCTTTGACAATTCAACGCTGCTGTGTTCGTCATGGGAATTGTTTGGCCACACTTGGTCAGTGTGGATTGGTGAAAGAGGGATGTAGTGGAGTCCCAGGGGTACGTTCAGATATAATCCGCCACTGATGTTAGCTGTAACTGGAAATGGAACACGGGTTACTGAGTTCATAGCACAGCACGCTCAGCATTGTGCAACCATTCCCTTGAAATCAACAACAACATTGTTATAGATTTTAGGGGGGGGGGGGAATCACATAAACACATAAAAACCATAACAGTTATCATAAAAGTTAAAAACATTCAAACAATTGAGGAATGTATATCATGCAAAGAAACTGAAATATATAACTGATTTAAACTGAGATACTTCTGTCTTACCCTAATTGTTAAGTTGACATGTACATCTTCACCGCACACAGGTGTTCCAAAGACTTAACGGGTGGTCACGTGATGGTGATGAGAAATGATAGCGTCTCTACACGCAATTGTAACATTGATCCCAAGACGGGCCTTCCAGAAGAAGGATGCACATTTTTCCCAGACGTGGTTCAGACAGCAACAAGCTCCATCATGTCCATTCAGGCCCTCGACAACGTAAGCTCCTGGCCCAGACAGGAAACGCACTTTAACATCTGAAAATTGCAGTAGATCCACCGCTCATCATTATCATGTATCCATTATCATCATAATCAGCCATAATCTATCCACTGCTGGATGAAAGGCTCCCCAAGCCATCGTGCCATCTCATCAGGGTCTTGCGATGCAACAGACCATCTAAGCTCCTGCATGTGTTCTGAAATCATCACTCCAAGACTGTGGTGGATGTCCTCTTGGGGATTTTTCCTCCTTTGGCTGCCACCCAACTTAAATCGTCATTGTCTCTTCTTAGTCCTTGTCCTCCCATGCTATCAGGCACTTTGATCTATCCTGCGCATGGTGTTTCTAGGGCTTATATATGCTGAAATTTAAGGGCTTTAACATTTCATGTTATTAATTATTGAAGTGTCTATTTAGGCCGATCTCCCTCACATGAATATGAACGTAGTTCCCAGTTTATGTTACTAATTGTGACTCAATATTCATGGTGGTAGTCTACAAGGCAGTTTATTGTGGCTTCTGATTAAACCACAACTATGTCATGCCGATTTTGTTCCAGATGATAACGGATTGCCGCATCATTTTACTTTCCTCACCTTTTAAGGATTGGATAAATGCACGTAAATATCAATTTCTTATTGTCACACAATTACAGGTTATTGTCATGCCAATGGATACCGAGTCGTTCTCAATAAGAAATAATAAAACCAAAGTATTAATCTCCATCAGTGACTCTGAACCAGTGGTTGAAATTCCACATTACTGAGTCAGGGGACAGGCTTTGCAGAGGAAAACCACTGTTTATTTCCAGCATTATTACTCATTTCATCGACTCCATTGGTATAATGGACGGAGTTGACCCATGGTTATGATTTGAACTTACAAGCTTCTTATTGTGAGAAAAAATAAGGTAGAACATATACAAAATAATAATTCTTATATCTGGCATGTTTCCACACTTGTGGGGGTCCAACTTGTGGGTCCTCTCTCTCATACTCACTCCGACCCTGGGCTATCTCCACGCCTAACTCCATATTCACTTAAATCGTGTTTCCTCAGCTCGAACCACCTCGTTCTACACCAGGCTAACGTCAAACATGTTCACAATCTTCCTTTCGTTCTTCCATGTTCTCACCTTTCCTCCTATGTGGTTTTCCTCCATTATTTACAACTGGTCCCACTAAGCCATCCTAGTCGACTTTCAGCTTGACTGAGATGGGTTCCACTACTTCCCTCTTCCTTGCCTCTTCATTTCTGGCCCTGATCCAGCCCTTGTAATTCCTGAGATTCCTTTGTCCCATCCTAAATTTATGTTGTGCACAACATACATCATTCATACGTGCGTGCGCATACGTGTAACATTTTTAAGCACCGTCAATGTGACATTAACCGGAGGCATTAACGCGGATGAACCTTTGGCCGCTATAACTGCAGGTAAAAGAATTCTGCTCTGTAAACCAACACAACAAGGCCGCTCCCACCCTCCATAACCGTCTGTGTGCCTCGAAGAGCACCTGGCAAATCATGCAGCGGCACAACGATTTTAAGGTGAAAACAAAACTGCCGGTCGGAACGGACACGCAGCCGTCATTTACGCTCCTGCAACCCACAGCCCGTGTCGTCACCCTCGTCTTGGACGTGTCTGGCAGCATGAACGGGGTGAGCACATTTACAGCGATCACATTCGGGTCCTTGTACCATGCACTGAAACATACGTGGCTCACCCTGCCAGCAGTACAACATCTCGAAACGCCACGCTCTGGTGTAAACAGGTGACTATCAAATGTGATTACCTTCATGTGCTTTGGTTCATTCGGTAAAGTCACGTAGATCGAAAAAATAACCAATAATATTGATCAGATTGCATTCATCAGATGTAAACCAAATGTAGCAACAGATTTCGTATGTTATTTTTAGCTTTGATACTAGCTTAAAACCATCCTGATAATTTTAATCTGTTGATTAAAAGAGGTCGCGGGTTTAATTCCGTCTCCCATGGAAACAATGGAAATGTTTCTTAAACCCCCCCCCACCTCTGTTCACCCCGCGGTATAAACGGGTACACGACAGTCAGTCAGCAGGTCACGTGAGGTGAGGTAAAGTGTAGGCACACTCACAAACTCTTCCACGACGTCTGGCAAATATTGAAGATTATGCCAAAATATTCCCCAGAAGAGCCCTGCAGAGCTCCCTTTGGTAGAGTCTCTTGTGCCAGCAAGGGCTAAAGCCAGGGGAGCAACTATGGGGGGGGGGGGGGGGGGGGGTGGGTATGCGGTGGCGTTACGCAACGCATAAGGGCCCGGTCGGCCACAAGGAGGGCCCCAAATAAACAGATAAGCGAGTAAAAAAAACATGTTTAGAGAAATAAAAAATAAATATTCCAACAATTAACCATAAATGCCAACAAAAGACATCGTTACAAATGTGAAAAATAATATTTCCGAAAAATATACACACAGCGTAAAATATAGTAGCGGCGCTACTGGTGTTTGTTGCTCAACACCACCAGACTTTTTTTGGTAACTGACATAAGCATGAAAGCAAGACGCATGATAACTTAATTGTGAGTAATGTACCTTTAAATATTTTTTTTTATTAATACTGTCACTGTGAGATTGCCTTCCTCTAAACCCAATACATAGTGCAACTCAAATAATATATGGAGTTATCCGCTCCCATTATTGTATATGGGTTCAAAACATGCAGGGGCCCAGAGTCGTATCTTGCTTACCCTTGTTGAATTAGCCAGTTGTGCCCCTGGCTCTATAGGTTTAAGAAGTAAGGGAGAAAACATCTTAATGATCAATAAGCCCATACTTAAGAACTGGTTTCTGGAGATTCATGATTGCTGCCGCAGAACACAGAAGTGAAACTCCCTGTGGTAAGAGGTTGTAGAGAAGTAATGCTGGGGATAATGAGCCGAGCTTTAATGCTGGTTCAAACACAGAAAGTACGTGCGACGAGGGAGAAAGTTGGCGGAGATATTGATTACTTTAAGCTTAAAAACCGACATACTGTACCTACTGTAGGTCTGTCACTAAAAATATTTTCAGCAGCCCTATCCACTCCGTGTCACTTTGGAAACGAGACTATCCTCATCTCTTGAGTTCTCACCGGATTAAGCAAAATAAACGTCAAAACTTGAACGCACATCAGATTTCAGCGTGGAACATACTTGATGACGTGCTGGTTTCTGTGCGCGTGCATGCAGGCAAACCGTTTGCAAAGGATGCGGCAGGCATCTGAGAATTTCATCATGAAAATTTTGGATGCAGGAACATTGATAGGGATCATCGTTTTCAACAGCAAAGCAAATACGAACCTTGCTTTGACGAAAATAACCGACGAAGCGAGCCGTGTGCTAATTAAAAACAACCTCCCCATGAATGTCAACGGGGGAACCAATGTGTGCGCGGGAGTCAGGCATGCCTTTCAGGTGAGTCCAAAAGACTGCGTCATTTCTTCTTTCACTGCAAGTCATCGGCACCTGATAATGGCCAATATTGAAGATTTTAAACAAGATTTTTGACATTTAATTACATAATGGCTCATACAGGGGTGATTTGATGCGTTGCAGGTTCTAAGGGCGCTGGATGGTGATGTGTCTGGAGATGAGATTGTTTTGCTGACTGACGGAGAAGACTCTGGTATCAGCAGTTGTGTTGCTGAAGTCCAAAATAGTCAATGCATTGTACACACCATAGCCCTGGGACCAAACGCGGACCCAGCACTTGAGAAACTAACCACCGCCGGTATGCCACAAAGAGACTTCAGAAAAAAAACTGGGATTTTTCAATCGTTTGTGACCAATTCTCTCGGGAATATTTACGATCTCGCTTGATTTCTGAAGCGAAGCAGGTATTAAAACCCGGTTAGTATTTGGATGGGAGACTTCCAGAGCTTGCAAGACATTGTTGCCGTTGGTGGTTGCGATGATCAGGAGATTACAGTGTTTGTGTGCCACCCCCTTCGCGTGCGTGGGTTCTCTTGGGGTTCATAAGTTTCCTCTAGACCAAAACCTCATGAAATGGCATTGGACAAACATCCCAGCACAGGAACCTATTTAAATAAGTCACGCATCTCCGTCGGTTACATATATATTTTGCGGTTGCCTTTCTGTCACCTGTTTGGTGGCAAGACGGGATGATGCTGCATAAAGTCAGAAGCGATTTGCATGCGGCAATTCAGGATGCGGCCAATTCCGCACCAGGAACAGAAATTGCTCCACCAGTGCCTTGTGCAACGATCGTGGAATGATCCAAAGTGGGCCAGCTTTAGAGTTGAGCCGACAAATATCAGAGAGCAAACGCACAATCTCAGATCCTCCTCGATACTCCGACTGCTGTACCGACGGTGGGATCTCTTTTGTGGAACGGAGCTCCGCCCATTCGACCCAGCGGAAATCGGACCAAAATCCAGCAAGTGAAACGAGGCGTATTCAGTTGTGAATGGACTTCCACACGATGCCGGAATTCTGCGAATGTGTGGATACAAAGGCTCCACGTCAAATCGAGCCCTGCATGGCTTTGCTCGTTAAATAATAGCGTACGCAACGTTGTGATGGTTAGAGGCTGTTGTACACCTTTGTTAATCAAAAGCACAGTACCTTGAGGTTACCTATTGTACATTATCCAAATGATGATACCAACTTAAGCTGTGATTTTTTTTATATGTAATTATTTTTTAAAATACATTGCTCTGTTTTATTTTGGCAGAGAGATATTACCATTTACACCGACATTTAGTTAAAACACGACCCAGGAGGTATCCGCTGAAGTGTATTGATACATTTTGATTTAAAGCTTTCGTGACTGCAGTAATTCATATTCTTAGCTCTTTCGGTAAAGTCACGTTGAAGGGAAACAATAAAATAATAAAATATATATAAAACAATAAAAATGCTCACGATGTTTCGACCATAACGCAAACGGTCTTTTCAAATGTTTCTTGCCGTTGGTTTTTCACACCTGATGATGACCGTTTGCGTTATGGTCGAAACGTCGTGAGAATTTTTATTGTTTTATATATTTTTTATTATTTTATTGTTTCCCTTCAACATGACTTTACCGAAAGAGCTAAGAATATGAATTAATACAGTAGCAGTTGCGCAGCATGGTTGGCATGGGCCCTGGTGCAAATAATGCAAAACGGCGCTCCCTGTAACATATGCCCACTCTCCATTAGCTCGGTGTCCCGGCCCCCATGGTGTGCCCCAGTGCAGTTGCACTGCCTGCGCACTTGATAGCTACCCCACTACGCAAGGGAAGAGTAAGATACGGAACATAGAGATTGCGGCGACATGAACGTACACATCGCTCGCGTGAACTGCACATTTTTGTGTGTGTTTGTTTTACTCGTTGTGTGTGTTTTCGTGTAGGAGGCATGAAATTTTCTGCCAGTGACAACTTGGACACAAACAGTCTCGTGGACGCCTTCTCATCTGCGAAGGCGGACGATGGCGATACGAGCTCTCTTGTGCTACAGGTGATGACGACAACAGAGATGATGAAGAAGAAGAAGCAACCCAAAATCGCGTTCACTTTAATCGCGCGGCATCGCGCCAACACTAGGCGCCACGGTGGCGAGATGTTAACCACCTCACCTGGTATACAGGAGGTCATGGCTTTGATACTTACACTGACGCCTGTGTATTTGGAGTTTGCATGTTCTCCTCGCGGTCACGTGGATTTTTCTCCGGGGACCTGCGGATTTTCCCTCCACATTTAGAAACGTGCGTTTAGGTCGTTTGGCTGCTATAAATGTCCACGTGATAAGCCACTTCGTTGAGTTATCATATGTGGCCAAATCGCTTCTGAAAAATATTTATATAGCTCAGTGGGCCTTACCAGGTAAATAAAAAAAATTAGTTTAGTTTTTTTTATTTTAGCTGCTTTCTAGCTATCCACTGGGTGGTTGAAAAAAAACGACGTTTAAGAGACACAGTCGCACTCTAATGACATCGCTGTGCTAGCTTCAATGCAATGACACTGCAGATGTTGCTAAGTGTGTATGAAAGTCATTATAGACTATTTTTTTGGATTCTCATTAACAAAGCTTCATACTTATGTCGGTAACATCAGGACACACCGCATAAGCAAGGGTAAAGATTTGCATCTACACAGTCTAAAAATGTCTAAGGAACACTACGTTCCTCACTTTATATGTCATTAGAACCATTCCTATTCCGGCAACAGGCTAGCCAAGGGGGATCCCCAGTGGCAGCTGCCCCTATGTAGTACAACGTGAATGCAGCATCGGCCTGCAAATGGGCCTTAGGAGACGATGTTGTTGTGATTTGTCCCAATACTTCTTATTTCGTACGGCTGATGTAGATGCAGAGCAACGACTACAATTTCACATTCAGGTGGTCAAGCCAGAAATAACCTCATCAGGAGTAGCGGAGTGGATCACTGTGATGTCTTCCTTCGTATTAGTGGATAGGCCATCGCGTCGTTACATTTTGTACGGTCTGTTCTGGATGACCATAGTCGCACACTGGAGAGTTTTTAATTTTTAATTCGTGCATCAATTAAGCACGGTAAATTGCTAGTAATTGTATCAACTTTGGGAAAGATGCCTAGGATAGCTATTTGTCTTTTGGCTTACATCCTCCTTTAACACTTGCCTAAAATCTCACATCTCTTTCCACGATTCCGTCAACGTCTGCCACGCGGTCATTCCTGAGTATTCTAATTTTGTACGTGCGTGCGCTTCTCTCGGGAAGCTGGAAAGCACAGGTCAGTCCCTCAACAGTGGTGAGACAATGAAAGGGGAAATTCAAGTGGATGCCTCCATTGGGAACAACACCCAGTTTGTGGTCACGTGGCTGGCAAGCACCGTGCCAGAGATGCACATCATTGACCCAGACAACTTTGATTATCAGAACAACAACTTTGTCATCGATACGGTATTCAAGACTGCACGGTTAACAATCAAAGGCACTTCAAAGGTGAGAACATGTCAACTGTCATTTCCAGTAGATTATAAAAGAGAAAATATGCTTGCATAGTACTGACAGACATGCATTTCTAAAGACAGCATAAAGCTACATATTGTACACTATGTTATTAGCTGCATGGAGTCATCATCGTCAGCCATTGACTAACCCTACCTCGCTCTACGCCATTTGCATCTTTCATGGTCCTGCGATGTCTTAATGCCATCTCACTCCTGCGCTCGATCTGATTACGTCGCTCACATCCCCATGGTGATCATCCATTTTGGGGGCTGCCTCTCTCCATTGGCTGCCGTTCCATCGCCAGTCTCTTCCACCGACCCATCATCCCTTCTAACCACAACGTGCCTGGCCCATGCCCACTTAGGTTTCTTAAGTCAATATCATATCATAGCATCAAGTCTGCATTCACCACACGTATTTGTGGCAAAAGATGCCAACAAAAATGCTCTGATAATATGCTTAATGCAGACTTGACGCCTTTTCAAATGGAATCTATTGGGCGTTTGAACATCTTAACACCTGTTTTATTGCCAGAAAGGGTAAAACATACTCTTATTTTTCATCATTGATACTGGCAAAAAGGTCCCCATAAATAGTCAATTATTTGTCTCTAAATCGTGCTTTGGTCCCTGAATCCATGTGTCCCTCTTTCTGTCTCAAAAGTGTAATTCAATGCATGCATCTGCCGAATATGGGTTCACTCTTCAAATTTAGTTTGCCTTTTTCATTTTCATTGTCCACGTTTGCGATCCGCGTGCCATAGCTGACAATATGCGGCAATTGAAAACTTTTCTCTCAATTCACAACTCGGTTGGCTGTTTGTTGCGATCAAATAACATTTTCTAAAAACACTCCAGCCTGCTCTTGTTTATCTCTTTTAAACTATAATTTTTATCGCTATCCACTTCCAATTATTGCTCAATGTATGATATATTCTGCTTTGTTTTCACGTCATACCTGTCAACTTATATGGTTTGCCCCGTATTCTTGCAAAGGGAAATTGAGTTTTCAGGTCCATACGGCGTACAGCCGTTTCAATACGGACAACAACAAAAAACATCTCCCTTGTGATGGGACTTTGTAGGATGAACGTTGAGATTTATAAGGGGCACGGGGTGACCATTAAGGTCTAAATTGGTTTGTAATAAGGTAGGGCACTGATAAGGGGTTGACAGGCGTGTCTCATTGTTGTGCTCCAACGGTTATATTTTGTTTTTGTTTAACCAACTCGATGTATGTGACTTCCATTTTGTTCATACATATGCCGAGTCAAACTCTGCGGTATTCCTCAATTAATGCTGCACATTGTATAAGACAAATTATATTTGACATGTACCGTAAAGGAATACCTGCTGGTTCGCATACAAATACAATTAATAATACATCATACCTATAAGCAAGTCCTTCTACATTATATCCATTATTATATCCATTATTATATTCATTATTATATCCATTATTATATCCATTCACACGACTGCTGCTCATAACTGATTACTGTGCTTGGAATTACACCAATTGTCCTGGAATCGTTGGGAAGAAAGGAACAGCTTGACAATTGAAATAATTGGCCTTATTCAGGACACAATGAGAGCCTTAAATGTCCTAGAGAGGGTGGGTAGAGGTATTTTGTAAGGGTTTTTTTATATAAATTCCAGGAGATAATATGTAAATGTTCTCACTGAAGTGCATTTTTTGTGTGTGTGTTTAGTTTGTTGTCCTTCCCCTGCACCTCCGAATATAAATATCACTGATTGGCTATGTACTATGCAAAATAAGTTCAACATACACACAATAACATTTCTGAGTGTGGGAAAATGCATTCAGGGATCTTAACAGTTGTCCAAAATTTATGGTTTATTTAAATATGTTGACAGGCCATAAATATCGATTAGGAATGCGTGACACAGTAAGTGTATCCTGCAATCCCGCATGAGTGAAAGCCACGATGTGAAATGCCAACTGTTGTTTGTACCCTTGCGTAGGCTTCGTGGTTGTGCTGTATAGCTCTCTGATGTCTATTGGGGTCGTACAGGAGCATGTTCGTCTTTGGCACGGCGTCCAACGTTTTGCTCTACGGCCCGGGAGCTTCTTTATGGAACGAAACGTCGGACATCATGCCGAACCACAACACTGTAAAACCTAACGGCTAAACGTAGAAGTGTTTTTTTTATTCATGCGTATTTTTTGTTATATTTATATTCACAGCCTGGTACGTGGACGTACAAATTAAAGAACAAACACTCGGTCAAAGACAACATTGCGATCTCGATCACGAGCAGTCAGTCCAACAGTAACCTCCCACCTATCGAGGTGAAAGTCGTCAAGCCAACGGATAGCAACGATAAGCTGAGCGCCATGCAGGTGTTCGCGGAGGTGAAGCAGGGCAGCACGCCCGTCGTGGGCGCCACCGTCATTGCCACCATTGAGCGGCCCAACGAAAAGCCTCTCGAGCTGCAGCTGTTTGACAACGGGGCCGGTGCGTTCTGTGGGCTGTCTGGGGCGTTGTTAGCTGGCGTGAGAGAAAGGGTTTCCCATGAAAAAGTGAACATTGTTGCGTAACGTTTTGGAATGCGCCCTTAAGGATGATTGTTGCCAATCTGTAAACAGGTGAACACCAAAGTTCATCCGAACCAAAAAAAAACCTATGTTGTGTCTATTAGCCTATGGGCGCTCTTGACCAGACAACAGCAGAAGTATATTATGTTTGTTTTGGCCAGGCCTGTTCTGCTCTGATCCCATAATCGGCATAACTGAATATGGAGTTTGTAAAACATGACCAGAAATTACTGGGTGTCCAAAAGAGTATTATCTATTCAAATATATAGATCATTACTTAACTGCCTGGATGAATATTGGGGTTACTTGAAAGACGATTATGCCAAAACATTGGAAAGCTCAAGTGACCTTCAACAGCTCGTAACAGAAGCAAACCAAACAATCGCACCTGAGATGCTGACGAACACCTCGGACAAATCCCAGCATAACAAGTAGGCTTTCGCGACCAATATCATCCATAATACAGGTTTTCTGAGATAGATCGCGTACATATATAAATGTGTCGTTAAACCCACCACCATCCGACAAAGCCAACTAGTAAGGTTTGTCACGTAAACAGAACATGCCAATTCTAGATTTGAAGCTTTCGTGACTGCAAGGATTCATACTCTTTGTTTTTTTCGGTAAAGTCACGTAAAAAAATTAAAACTAAATTTAGTTGTTTTATTTATTTAATTGTTTTTTTTTCCCTACGTGACTTTACCGAAAAAACCAAAGAGTAAGAACATGCCAATTCGTTACTAGTTACTAGCACTCATGCCCGCTTACGACACATTTATATATTTACGTGATCTAACCCAAAAAACACAGCATGGTGTGTGTTGCAAATGCTGCTATAGTGGAAATTGCGCAGATTTAGCCTGGGGTGAAACTAATATGATCAAATGTTCAAACGAAGAAATGTGTGTGTGTATATACTTTCATCAACCTAGTTCAAACGGACGTAAATCGTATTTCATTTTATAATTGTCAATACCTTTAGCGACACCCTATAGCTCAGGTGAAATGGTTCCGCCATGCACTCATGCCCGCTGGCAACTACCATTGGTTCCTAAACAATTATGTTCTCAACGGCTGTCTATAGTCCGAGTATATTATTTAAATGCATTACCATCCTATTCTCAGTGGTGGAGAGAACGGCTCGCCATCAAGAAGGTTGTGAGTGCAAATATCTCGCTGGGGGGAAATGTATTTAAACCCATCGTCCTTCTGAGGTTGAAAGAAGCAATGCCCGTTTGTGGGGAAGTGAACAGCAGTTATCCTCTGGATAGACTCACCCCCCATCTGTGGCAAACGTCAGCAGTGATATTGCACCAGTCCTGGGCAGTGTCAAACAATCCACATGACCGCTACATTATGGAGAGTGGCCTTTGTGCAGCAGTGGATTGAGAAACGGTGGAATGACATTGTACGTTGTTTATATCGTTGTCGAGCTGTGTTTTTTTGTTACCGGATGTGATAAAATGGTAGTATTATAAATATGAATGGAATATGGGGAGTCAGCAGATGGGGACTGATGAATAGGGCGACAACCCCTATGGACTACATGAGACACTGACTCGGATGGTTGGGGGGAAAATTTTGATCACCCTTTAGCCGCCTCTTATTTAAATTAATTATTTTAAGGATGTTTTGGTTACTTCCCTTCCCTTGTGTCCTCCCCCCCCTCCTTTACTTAAATGCTCTACCTCACCCCTTCCGGTGGCGCCCGGCTTGTTTGAGACAACGGAGCCTGCACCTCTCTCTCGTTCGCTCGCGTAGAGGGTTCCACCACGTGACACACTATGTGATGTAACGAGCCCGCGTATTGCCTCAATTAAAAAAAAAACAATGTCAACAGAATGTAACATTTCCACCACTGGCTCAGAGCTGTAAACGAGAGATGAGCAATTATTCCATGCGCATTTAAGCACGACATCAACTTTGCCATCCTATGTATACAGCACTGGGTAGACCATGCACAGACCATTTCCCATTACATTCCTGCACGTGTCATAATCGGTAACAAATATAGCTCGTGGCAATTTTAACCACGTGCAATATATGGCCCTTTGTCAATCTACTGCTGCACGAAGGTCTGTCAATAGCACATCGGTCATGGGCGTTGTTTGACACTGTCCACTAAAGCAGCTGAGTGAAGTGAAAGGGGGGTGAACCAGCACTGGTGAAAATATCGCTGCTGATGTGACCCGCGGCTGGGAATTTAACTCAGGTGGCCAGGTTCGTAGTGCAGTGCACTTATTGCTGCGTCGGAGTTCATGACGCTGCACAAAAAATTCAAGCAAATGCCATGATTTACATGAAGGACCCTTCTGCTGTGTGCAGGTGCTGACGCAAAAAAGAACGATGGAATTTATTCCAGATTCTTCGCACAGTTTACGGCAACTGGCCGATACAGCTTAAAGGTGAAGGTTGTAGGAGATAACAAGACGACAAGTCTGGCCCCACAGAGAGGCTCACGGGCCCTCTACATTCCAGGGAAACGAAAGGCGAATGGTAAGAATAAGAATCCGAATCTGGATTTATCCTGGAGGAATCCGATGAGCTGTTAAGCTTTTTTTTCACAGATGTCCAGTAGGTGCTGGTCAGCAAATTACAGAATGGTAAGAAACCAGGGGCCCTTGCAGCACAGCAGTGCAAGGACTGGGCAGAGTTTAACTTTTCAATATAGTATATTCCCATTTGTTGCTTATATATTATATATACTTTATTGTTTTAGCACATTGTGTTTTTTCCTTGAATCACATCCTTACTCAGTAATTATCTCAAATAGCTCTGTGTTCTGGTGCCTCGAGATGAACTTCATGGGAGGTGCGGTATAAATGGTAACTGATGATGATAATTAACGCAGAACAAAATGAGATATTTGTAATTATTCTTTGTGGTAGAGTGAATGTGTTTATAAATTTACGTGACTATGGCGAATGTTTCCCCGAATTTTTTTTTATATTATGCGAAATGTACTCAAGTTAGGTTGTGCAGTATAAATGATGTTAAAGTCAGTTGATTGTGCACAGTCACGGAATTTGATCATTTCCCAAAAGCCTATGAAATTGGTTTAATTAAGGCTCCCATGATCAAAATTTACATTGCAAAAGGTAAATGTGTATATACTGCATTGGCTATGAATACTTACCCGGACTCACATTAATGCCTCTATTTATCAGCAAACAAATAATTTACACGTGTTAAAAAGCCCGGCTTGCATATGTAGTGTAGTAACGCGCGCGGGGAGGTTTGCAAACAGTGTGCACGCGCGTGTGAGCTGCGGACAATGAGGTCACGTCACAGCGAACAGGCGCAGAGAGGCAGGGTAGACAGACTAGCAGTAGAGAGGCTAGCGGAATCCTAAGTGTGAGTGTGATAAGGCTCTCAGTGGAGAAGCTAGCAGAGTGTATTGCAAGAGGCTAGCAGTGGAGAAGCTAGCAGAGCGCAACATAGCAGGCTAGCGGAGCGAGAGAGAGGCGAGCGGAGCGTAGCATACGAGCAGTACACGAGGAAGAATTGCGACGGAGATACGCGGTGTTGAACGCGAGGAGTTTCGTACGAATAAAGTGACACAGTTGTCCGCGTGAAATGACACCACTACACATATATAACCTTTCACAGTTTTACCATTTGCCGGAAATTATGTCGAAAGCATTCGGAGTCTGCTGTAGTCCTTCCGCAATGTTTTAGTAACTGAAATCAGAAGCCCCATGGCCAGATTTATCAAACAACTATTTGCTTTAAAGTTCTATGCAACCTTCCTCATAACGGAACACGCAAGCATCCAATGACTCGCCACCACCAATGGACAATCAAATAGAAAGTATGCCCGCATTCTTGTCGAGCTACTGTGCTCATCATGTCATACATGACAAACAGCGGAACGGTGGCTGTATCATTAATAACAGCTTATCATTATTGACTCTGCTCTCTATCTCTGTATCATTAATAATTCTACTCTGTTACAATTGACTCTGATATTTTTCTTTTACAACCTTCTTTTCTTTGTCTCTGTGTCAGAATTGACTCTGCTCTCTGTCTCTGTATCATTAATAATTCTACTCTGTTACAATTGACTCTGATATTTCTCTTTTACAACTGACTCTCCTGTGTCTCTGTGTCATTAATAATTGTACTCTTGTCATAACTGATTTCGCTATGCCTCTATTTTAGCTGACTCTACTCTGTCTCTGTATCAGAATTGACTCGTCTGCTGGCTCGGTCCACCAGGTGAACTGCAGGTGACGCAGCTGCCTCCCCCGGTGATCAAGCAGGACCTGAAGCCAGTCTCAGACTTCATCCGGGTGGCGTCGGCTGGCTCCTTCCAGGTGGCGGTGCCGCCAGGCGGCATGAAGGACATCTTTCCGCCATGCCGCATAACTGACCTCCAGGCTGAGCTGCAGACCTCAAGCTCTGTGAGCCTCACGTGGACAGCCCCTGGAGGGGATGGTGACTTTGGACAAGGTACGTAAATAGCACTTTTAAATCTCGATTGAAAACTAATTTCTTTCGAGCTGCTTTTTGTGTGTTAGTTTGTTGTCTTTCCCCCCCGCACCTCCGATTAGCACTGTTGGCTATGAACGGTGCGAAAGAAGTTCAAAATACAGTACATACCAGGCAATGCAAGTATTTTCCATAGCTTTTTAATATAAATATTCATGTTTTGGTCATCGTTTCCCTAATTATATCACAATTGTGCTATCGGCATCGTATCGTGAGACAACGTGTCCATTCGAATTTCTCGCAGGGCACGTGAAACCCTCACGTTCGAGAACGACCCGCGTAAGCGGATGTCACAGAGCTACTTCAGAGATCAGTCCACTGTTAGATGTAGGCTTCTCCGCGCCGGTGTGGGTCATGAGGGTTGTTTGACCACGCTTGACGACTCTGGTCAGTGGGAGTTGGTGAAGGGGACACCTGGGACCACTTCGGATATCTCTCACTACTGGTGTTAGCAGTAGACAAGAATTTAGCTTGGGTCGCGTGAACCAGAGCGCAGTGTGGTAACCGCTGCACCACCACTCCCTGTTGTGAGTGGTTCCCCATGAGACATGTGAAACATTTTCTACAGCGTCTAGCAGCTGCAATTACGTGTCACGTAATTCCAAATTGTAATGCAAAGAGTAATACAATCTTTTTTATGGAGTCTTCCTTCAGCTAAATTAAAACTTGTATTTGAGAGAACTTGTTTTTGAGTTCTGGGAAGTTTCAAATGTAAGTGTATTATGTTTAACCAGGGTAAGAACTCACAGAAGACAAGTATAGCCTCATTTAAAAGAGTGACCTGAGGAGGAAGGCTTTTTTGAGTTATTTCACCGCATTCAGATAATTATAATTTCGGGTAATTTTTGTTGTTGTTGTTGTTGTTGCTTAAACGTCATCCTTTTGCGCGTGTGCAGCCGCAATGTACAGGATCATGATGAGCGGCAGCGTTGATGGCTTGCTGAATGGCACGGACTTTCGCTTGGTGGAGAGAGAGGACCTGGCGTGGGGTGATTTGAACGCCCCCGGGGTGGCGGGCAACATCGAGAACTTCACCGTCACGACGACGGAGCTCTCCGCCGGCGACGAGCTGTACTTCTGCGTGCAGGCGATCGACAGCAGCGACAACGTGGCGCCCCTCTCCAACGTGGCCTTCGTCACCTACGTCGTCGCTCCGACCACGGCCGCTCCGACCACGGCCGCTCCGACCACGGCCGCTCCGACCACGGCCGCGCCGACCACGGCCGCTCCGACCACGGCCGCTCCGACCACAGCGGCACACGCCGCGCCCCATAGTAACACGAGCACCATGATCGCTGCTGTTGGAATATGTGTCCCGGTGTCGGTATGCTTGCTCATATGCATCGTTTACCTAAATAAGAATAGGAAAGGTGGCCATTACCAAATATCGACGCAAGACATGGCTTACCAGGAAAAACTAGGCCAAGTGCAGGCGTTGACCGTTTTCAGTTCGGTGTCCAATTCCCAAGACGTTGCACCCAATTCATCGCCTGACTCCACGAAAGATGCCTGTGAAATATTACTGTTCAAGGATGCTTAAAGTGTTGGAATATGCCCAGTTATCAATATTTCGAGCTGAACATATAGTCTACAGATCAACGACCACGCCAAATAGCGTGGTCCATTTTTTTCTGTTTAACCAATAAAACATACTTTGGTTGTCTAAAAATATATGTAAGATTCCATAATGGCCCAATATGGTATTCTGTTAACCTGAAACTAACCACATCATAATACTCGTGAGCTAATCCAAAAATATACTCAACCGCTTTATAAACATAATTATTTTGATTTAAAACTTTCGTGACTGCAGGGATTCATATTCTTGGTTCTTTCGGTAAAGTCACGTAGAAGGGAAACAATACAATAATAAAAATATAAAACGATAAAATTCTCACGACGTTTCGACTGCAACACAAGCAATCATCATCAGGTGTGAAATTTTCTTGCCGTGGTTTTCACACCTGATGATGATTGCTTGTGTTGCAGTCGAAACGTCGTGAGAATTTTATTGCTTTATAAACAAATTCATGCTTAGGATATTATCTTACACAGAATCATGCCACAACGCACAGAACTTAGCAAGCAGCAATTCTATTTTGCTTTTGGTCTTAACGATCTAAATACACGTATACAGCAGATAAACATCCTACATAAGTGAGCCTATGTTTACAGCATGTCCAATCTGTCTACATTGCGACCTGAGCTATGTTGTGATAAAATTAGAGCTCATATCAGCTGTTCAACAATATGTATGTATGTTGAACTTCTTTCGCACTGTACGTAGCCAACAGTGCTCATCGGAAGTGCGGGGGAAGGACAACAAACTAAACACAAAAATAAGTTCCAAAGAAATTCGTTTTCAATTATAGATTTATAATTGCATAGCCTCAGTGGCTTCCTAATATCGGAAAGAAGAGCATTCCATACCACTGCAGAAGTTCACCTTAAATTGTGCGATGCAATGACCGTCTTTGTTCGATGGCTAGCCAAAAGCGCTGCGAGGATGACCTGAGTTCAAGTGACGGTTTGAAGGCACGTTTGCTCACGTGACACATTTATGAACTGGCTGCGTCGAGTGGATGAGGGTGTATGACACATATTTTACTCACGTGACTTGACCCAAAAATCTATTACAAATCAATTTGCAGCCCTTCGTAAATGCACTGTTGAGTGAAGGCCTCCCCGTGATCCTCCAGTTTTTCCCTCCACATTTAGAAACGTGCGTTTAAAAGTATTTGCCTGCCATAAATGTCCACATGATAAGCCACTTCATTAAGTTATAATTTGTGGCCAGGTTTCTGAAAAAGAGCTGTATAGCTCAGTGGGCCTTACCTGGTAAAATAAAAAATAGTATATAAAAGTATAAAAAGAGAATTACACGCAACAATGGAATCGAATGAGGCTATTCACTTGTTTGTCTTCATCACCACCACCACCACTCCACGTGCTCATGACGATGGGACTAACGTTGCTGATGGTCGTGGCATTATAGACACGAAGACGTATACATAGCCAGTCTGGCAATAATCGCAAGTGCTTATACTTCTGGTTCCTGGAAAATAGATGAACAAGGAAGTGGTTAATATGATCACAGTTTTTTTTACTGTGGTCACACAGATGCATGAACAAACACACACCCTCTGTTGATTCTATCTGTGTGTGTGATTATCTTGTTTTCTAGGCCTGAGAACATTAATCGGGTTTTTTTTACTCTCACATTTAAAACGTCTTTTTTTTACTAAACAACTGTAAAGTTGCATTGCTTTGTGTATGTAGACCTACGTCAGAAAATATTTTTCTTATTGACTGGAAAGTTTAATTTCATTGGCAGCATATTTCCTTTGCTGGAGACTGCACAAATCCTTCCGAAACAACCACAGTCGCCTTTCCACTTGAACAATCATGCAGCAGATGGCACCCTTGCTGTGCCCTGTGGTAGCCCAGTGCACTACGACTCCACTCCAACATATCTGGGGGTGATCATGGACAGAAGCCTAACCTTCAAGCACCACATAAAACACACGTGAAAAGGCCAAACCAAGAATCGCCCTGCCGCAGAAACTTTCAGGAACGACCTGCCGCCCTCTCACTGGTCTACTCAGTGGCAGAGCATTGTGTTCCAGCCTGGTCCGGCAGCTCCTTAACAAAACTGCTGGATGCACAATTGACAGAATGTTCATCATAACCAGCAACACTGGAACTGACACCGATCCCCTGGCTCCCTGTTCTGGCGAACAATTCTGCCACCAAATATCCACCGAGACGCGCAAACTGCAAGGGAGTTTTACACGTTATCGAGTCGTCGACAACATATCCATCAACCGAGGCCTCAACGATGTGCACCGCCGGCAACTCAATTCCCAATCCCCCCATTGGGTCCGTGCTGTCACCATCATAGAATCTCACCAACATCCAGAATAACACTGGTAAACAAGAGTGGAACAACTTCTTGGTTCTTTCGGTAAAGTCACGTAGAATGAGAATGGAACAAGATTAAGCATCTCATTCGATACCCAAACATCGCACCGCCTGGCTTTGACATTCCTCCAAGACACTGGTGTAAACCCATCAACCGCAAAAAAAACATCAACAGGCCAATGCGCACGTATCCTTCACAGATGGAAGGTTAAAGAGACAAGTCACAGTAAGACTCTCTCCTGAAGCCGTGTCTCGTGGCTAGCAGGCCCCAACATTGGCATTTAGCCACCTGAACAATGCCATCATGCCCTAGAATAGAATTGGCCAAAACTGAATTGTGTCGAAACCCACTTGAAATGCTTAAACGTGTGGATATCATAACATGTGTATCAATGTTGAGATAAAGTACTGTCTGTCTCGCTTTTTATATAAAACTTACAATAAAGAAAAGATTAAAAATAAATTACTGCGGTTGTACTGTATAATTCTACTTAAAAAATAATCATTACAATGTGTTAAATGTAAAGCGGTCAACCTCTAATTGAGAAAAGCACACTTGAATATCAGATTCGCAAATGCAGAAAAGGTGTGTTCTTCTGTGTTATGGCCATTGTTAACTAAATGAAAATTGCGGCTGTACTATCAACCTTCAGTCAAATTAGTTTTGCTTCATAAACTTGCTGTATTGACGCATCAGGAAAAGTAAACATTCAACAAAATAACATTAAACAACAGATGCTTTACCTAAATATTCCATGGTACAAAGATCACTTTTATGTTTAATGTTGCCTACATTTATATTTAATTCTTTCCAGTTTCTCGCACCGAATAGTTTTTTAATTGCTCGTATTTTCACGATTGTCATTATAGTATATTGCTGTTGTTAAATTTAATCGCAAAGGCTGATTCGAAATAAGGTAGTAAAGGATTAGCAATATGCTGGATTTATTGTGGCAAGTAATTAGATTCTCTGTGTAACCGCAAACATAACGTCAACAGTTTTAATGAGACAAACACTGCCGGGTTTTTTTGTAGTCTTCAGTCAGGACTGCGGCGCAAAAACCGTAAAGACGAAAATGATCGCCTGCGTGAAGGCTGCCGCTCTGTTGTTCGGCCCACTGATCATTTTAACCATCGAGGCCTCTAATGTGAAACTTGTGGACCATGGGTATGAAGGACTGGTGGTCGCCATTCACCCAAGCGTTCCTGAGAATGAGCAACTCGTTGTTAAAATCAAGGTACGTGTGTGGATTATGACAAACTCAGTGCTGTTTTAAAATGTTTAAAATGGGAGCCCGCCTTTGTGATTTTACATGATCATTTCACATTTAAATACGAGCATTCTCACGTATATAAAAAAAAAAATTCAAAGGTAGTGTTTTATCACAAAATCAACCCTTTAGGGCAATGAAGAAAACATCCATCGAGTCATCTTGAATTTTAATTTGCAGCAAATTAGACGCCAATGTGTTTACAATTTGTAAAGTGGGTGTTGAAGCAGGGCTAGACCATACATCTGTGCTGAGCGGTCATCGTGATTCCACGAAATAAGGCATTGAGGGCCCATCTGAATGCCTTTATTACGAGGTCCCTGCACAGTATCTTGGGGCATGTGGAGGGGTGTCACGGTAGCGAAATGTTAACTACCTCTCCTTGTGTACAGGAGGTTTGATCCCGACCCTGACGCCTGTATATTTGGAGTTTGCGTGTCTCTCTCCCTGTCATTGCGTGGAATTTCTTCCGGGCCCACCGGTTTTTCCCGTCACATTTAAAAACATGCTTTTAGAGTATTTGGCTGCTATCAATTTCCACGTGATAACCCACCTCGTTGAGCTATCACTTGTGGCAAGGTCGCTTCTGCAAAAGAGCTATACAGCTCAGTGGGCCTTGCATGCTAAAATAAAAAAAAAGTTTAAATATATCCGGGGGAGTGTTGTGACTCCAGGTCCAGTTTCTAGCGATCTCGACCTCATGTGTTTCAAACCAAGAGCTTCCCACTGCCTCACAGGAGATCAGTTTAGTTTTTTAAAAAATGTGCTTCACATCATCGATTGCTTTGGGAAACTCGGCTGAGACTTCACTGGTTGCAGCAGCGCTAGCTGCCGGCTGGAGGCCAGGGGGGGGGGGGGCGGTGGTCGGCTTCCTTCGTGGCTGAAGCAGGTCGATCGCCACCTGCAAGGCCTGGGACCGGGGAGTCGGAGGCTTGCGGATCACCGAGTGGGACTCCCAAAGGGCTGGAGCCGGAGAGTGAACGCGGCCACGCGATGCGTATGCACGCAGGCCCCCACATCAGACGTTAGCGAGTGTAGATTTAAAAAAAGAGAAAGCTCCCAACGCAGGTGGAGTGACTGTGGATAGCGTCAAAGATGCGATACCATCTGTTGAAACAAAAAAATTAGTGGACTTAGTCACTAAATGTTTACATTTAAATTAAATAGCTCCATCCATAGCTTGACGCCAATCATACTATTCACAAAGTGAGGTTAGATACTGTTCCTGAATATTAGAGTCATTAACCTCCTATCATGAACGTAATAATCAATCGTTTATTCACAGACCCACACTCAAGTGAGTCAGAGCAGCCGACACGTCGCAAGCTGCGTGCATCATTTCCGAAATACATGATAAAAAATATATACATAGTGGAAAGGTGGTAAGGGCTACAACACATTTCCAAAGGGGGAGAGGAGAAGAGAAGGGGGTCACACGGTGCTGTTCTAAACAATAAAATGCAAACATCAATGGGTGTAGCCACAATCAATAAATAGAGATTAACAACAATTCAAACAAAGCATACCAACTATAAAGTGGCTGCTGGTCTCCTTGTCGAGACGTCTCACTTTAGCTAGGGCACGGTCGTGCGGCAGCGAGTGCAAGCGATAAGTTATTTTGATTTATTCGTGGGGGGGCGGGGGGGGGGGGCGGTTGTGGTGGTGAGCAATTGGTGTCGAACGTGTGGTCGCGGTGAGAGATCAACCGCGGGTGTGAAGGATCGGCGTTGTGGGGCCAATAGCGCTACCGACGAACTCCTCCCGCAGGAGGTGATCACGGCAGCGTCGGCGCGCCTGTATTCGTCGACGAAGCGGCGCGCCTTCTTCAGGAACGTCACCATCCTGCTGCCCGCTTCGTGGAGCCCCCACGAAGAGTACGGGCGGCCCAGCACGGAGGCATTCGACTCGGTGAGAGTGTGGGGGGCCACGGGGTGGGGGGCCCAGGGGGGGGGGGGGGGAGGGGGACCACCACGGCCCACCCCACCCCGGTAGAACGCGGAGGAGAGGTTGGTGCCAACGTTGATTCTCACGAATGTGGCCGCGTACGTGCACACACGTTGAACTTCTTTCGCACAGGATGTAGCCAACCGTTGCTAATCGTTGACAATGTTTACTGGGACGAAGCCGGGGCGGGAGCCATGGCAATCCGCATCGCGAGGTGGAAGAGTAGCCGGCTCGTATCCCTGTGAGGAATTTATATTTATTTAAAAAAAAACGTCGTTGAGTGATTTTGCTGTGTCCACCTCTCGGGTCAGTTAAGGTGTGTTGCGATGACTCGGCATGCATACTTGTGCTTCCCCTGTTGTTATTTGACATTTCATTGATATAAACAAGGCAAAATAATATTTTTTTCACAATGGGAAGAACTGACCGCCACCCTGAGAAGTGTGAAAAATGTAAAAGCTCCCATCCTAGATGGAATGTATGTGGACTTCCATCACAGACGCGGGGCCATCTGTTGAAACATAATTCGTGAACTTATTGACTAAATTTAGATTTAAAGCTTTCGTGACTGCAGTAATTCATATTCTTAGTTCTTTCGGTAAAGTCACGTTGAAGGGAAACAATAAAATAATAAAATATATATAAAACAATAAAAATTCTCACGACGTTTCGACCATAACACAAACGGTCGTCATCAGGTGAATCAACGTTGGCACCAACCTCTCCTCCGGTGACACCTGATGACGACCGTTTGTGTTATGGTCGAAACGTCGTGAGAATTTTTATTGTTTTATATATATTTTATTATTTTATTGTTTCCCTTCAACGTGACTTTACCGAAAGAACTAAGAATATTATTGACTAAATGTTACCACACAAATGTAATACCTCAATCATGGAATTATGCCTATCATTATTCTTTGGAAAAAAAGTAGATAACACAGATTTTAGATATTAAAGATGAACTAGCCTAAGTAAATATATGATTTATTTACAAAGATCACCGGAAACATAATAATTAACATTTTAGTGGATAAACAACAATAAATTAAGAAATTAATTATGAAATAAAGAGGCAGACAAAAGCAGCATGAAGTTATTTTGAAAACTGAATTGGATAATGATAAGCAACAAAGTCCCTTTACATGAAACTGAGATAATGTACCCCCCCCCACACCACGATTAGAACAGCTCCTTGTGTTGACCTTGTGTTGACCTTCCTTGTGTTGACCTTCTTGTGTTGACCTTCTTGTGTTGACCTTCCTTGTGTTGACCTTGTGTTGACCTTCCTTGTGTTGACCTTCTTGTGTTGACCTTCCTTGTGTTGACCTTCCTTGTGTTGACCTTCTTGTGTTGACCTTCCTTGTGTTGACCTTCTTGTGTTGACCTTCTTGTGTTGACCTTCTTGTGTTGCCCTTGTGTTGACCTTCTTGTATTGACCTTCCTTGTATTGACCTTCCTTGTGTTGACCTTCTTGTGTTGACCTTGTGTTGACCTGCTTGTGTTGACCTTGTGTTGACCTTCTTGTGTTGACCTTCTTGTGTTGACCTTCCTTGTGTTGACCTTCCTTGTGTTGACCTTCTTGTGTTGACCTTCTTGTGTTGACCTTGTGTTGACCTTCTTGTGTTGACCTTGTGTTGACCTTCTGGTGTTGACCTTGTGTTGACCTTGTGTTGACCTTCTTGTGTTGACCTTGTGTTGACCTTCTTGTGTTGACATTCCTTGTGTTGACCTTCCTTGTGTTGACCTTGTGTTGACCTTCCTTGTGTTGACTTTGTGTTGACCTTCCTTGTGTTGACCTTCTTTCTCAGCACACGGCTGGATTCGTGCCTAAGTTGTCCTCCACAGATTCTTCCAAGTGGATGGCTGCGTCTTGTAAAATGTTTATTGTTGTCATCACATGATCTGGGCGTGGGGGTGGGCAGATCAGATTAGATACTCTCCACATCCATCGTCCACTGAATTCGTGATTCAAACATTGCCGAATCGCGAGGTCACAGTGCGCCGGAGAACAACATTTCATGCAAATAGACGTCGTGGCCACGCTGTGCGTTAACTAAAAAAAAAACACATTCTTCAATAGCACTGCCTTCAAAGGAAACCTAATCGGTGACGTTTCGGGCAATGACCCTCCTTAATTTTTTTTCCGGAGGCAGTGTTATCGATGCACGTGTTGTACATTTAACAGCGCTTTGAACTAAAAAAAACCCCCGTCGCTATAGGGAAACACCGAGCGGAGCTGGAGTGGCGGTCGTCTGGTCTGTCTGTCTGTCCTTACCACAACAAGGCGGACGTGGTTGTGGCACAGCCGCATGACTCGAGCAACGATGAGCCCTACACGGTGCAGTTCGGCCTGTGCGGAGAGAAGGGCCAACACATCCACCTCGCTCCCAGCTACCTGCTGCAAGACACTGCCATCTCCTCGTACGGACCACGAGGTACGGACACGGATGCCATGGCGTGCCACGTTACGTAAACCGCCTCTTGCTCTTTCACGTTGGCAATTGTTTCGATGACGTTGCGTTTTGTTTTAAAAAAAAAAAAATCCCCTGGAAGATAGGTGAATACATTTTTTTTTAAAGGAAATGTTAACTGGCTTTGATTTGATTTAAATATGTAATTTCATTTCATATGCAGTTGGTATCTCTACCTTACACGCCTCAAAGTCATTGGTCATTTGTATGCGATTTATATAACACCAGGAAAATCGTCATTTGAATGTGTTTTTCCCATTCGCGCAATTGTATGTTATGTTTCCACGAAATAATGCAACTTATTTACCCAGGAAGCCACATTGAGCTCAATGACTATTTCAGAAATGTTCTGCGACATCGGGCTTTTTATATTAAGATTTTGTTTCAGCCAATGAATGAGAGTGGGAGGAAACCGGAGAACCCGGAGGAAGCCCACACACGTGCGAAGGGGCAACATTTTATCCCACACAGATGGGTCAGACGATATCAGTCCACACTTGTTGTACCGTATTCTTCTGGCTAGCAAGCCAGGGTATGGCACCTCGACACCCAACGCAGCATTTGTACGGTCCAGCAAACCCTCGCCTCCACAGTTCTGGATTACAAGCATTGCCCTACCACCGCCCGGCAAAATTCGATCAGTCTCTGGCAGTGTTCATCGCTGTTCGTAGGGGGTGGAAATTCTACGTTCTCATGATGAGGGCAAGTCATTCTATAGGAAAACCACTGTTGATTAAACAATGTCCCGCTTTAAAATCAAAGAAATAAAATATTCAGCTCTATAATGGTTTGTTTCCATAATATTTAACACAAATTTAATATCATTTACAAAGCCAGTAATAATCCACAAATAACAATTTCTGGAAGGAACGATGGAATGAAGGAGGAATATATTTTGACAAAAAACAAGAATGGTAAAAAAAAACAAGACGACTGCCACTACAACTAAAATAAGCTGCACAATATAATCACCGTGTATGCCATCAAGTCATGAAATATGACCATTGATGTTTAAACATAAATAGAGACGCAAACACATACCTTTCTTCTTTAAACAAACATAACTTTAAAAGCACACTCGAACTATACGCATATTTTGATTTAAAGCTTTCGTGACTGCAGTAATTCACGATCATCACTTGATGATGACCGTTTGAGTTATGGTCGAAACGTCGTGAGAATTTTTTTATTGTTTTATATATATTTTGTTATTTTGTTGTTTCTCTTCAACGTGACTTTACCGAAAAAACTAAGAATATACGCATATTTAGAACTGCTTCATGTGTTTCGTTTGTTGTCCTTCCCCCGCAACCACCGATTGCCACGGTTGCCTACGTACGACGCGAAAGAAGTTCCACACGTGTACACGTGAACACTGACAACTCTAAACGTCCGTACCCCCATCTCGCCCGTGCTTTGGCGTGCAGAGAAGTCGTTTTTGCACGAGTGGGGCCATCTACGGTGGGGTCTGTTTGACGAGTACGGCAGCCCGCAGCCCTTCTACGTCTCGGCGGCTGGGAACATCGAGAACACGCGGTAGGTAATAAGAGCCGGCCAGGAGCTTGTCGCTCGGCACAGCATTCAGAGCATTTACACATTTTGGAGGCCGTCCGTAAATGACGTCACGCACCTAGGGGGGGAGGGGGGAGTCAGACATTTGTGACGATGTGTGACGAGGGGGAGGGGGGGTTGCGAAATGTGACGTCACATCAAAATGCGCAACTTTAAATAAACATAGACAACACGTTCTACTTAATTAAATTGACTTTTGTAATAAATGTTTTCTCCTACAACACCAGAGTGCAGCGCCACATTAAATACGCACTACAATGACAATAGTTTAAAGCGATTTGAAGCATGTTTTATTTTGGGGGGGGGGGGGGGCAGAGCTTTGTGACGTCATATTTGAGGGGGGGGTCTGACTTTTTGTGACGCCGTGTGACGAAGGGGGGGGGGTCAAAAATCGTTCAAAATCGCGTGACGTCATTTATGGACGGCCCCTTGATTCATGGGGGGGGGGGGATGGAGGACGGAGAGATTGGCACAGGAGTTATTGCAAAAGTATTCTTTGGGGCTTTCAGGAAAGCCACGTAGAAAGGTTCCAATAAAATAACAACAAATATATATATTTAAACTACAGCTCCAATGGCTGCTAACACGGTTTTTATCGCAGAACGCTTTGAATCCAGCCACCTGAGTTTGATTCTCGACTGTGGTTCAGTGGGCTCAGTGGCGTCAGTGGCGAGCGACACCCGATCCAGTCCTTTTGTCACCGCCGCCACCCCTTCACCAACACATCCTGACCGGCGTGGTGAAGTATGGTCAAAATTCCACAGCACCGACAAGGCACGGGGGAGGCGCCCACCCAGCAGTGGATTTAAAAAGCGCTGTAAGCTATATTTTTTGATAACCCATTAAGACACCATACACTGCGATCGCGATCAATCATGACCCAGCGTCGTGAAATATGGCGAAAGCAACTCTCATGGCCGCTAACACGGTGCGCGTGGGGAGGCCTTCATCCAGCAGTAGATTTCCTTTCTTTTTGCATGACAAACCCCAATGTTCACGACTGTTGGATACATGCCCCCCCCCCCTTCCCAGCTCTGCGTTTATCACCGTGTGTGTGTGTGTTTAGTTTCGTTTGAAATTTGACATCGAGTTCCGAGTGTGGAGGAGCAGAGAGAGCCCCCTGCAGACAGACGCTGCAATCTGCACAGCAAACACAGACCAAGCTGCTCTGGGCTCTCTGCCCGTGTGCTTCTCCAGGTGTAGCAAGGACATCGAGGGCTCCATCAGCGTGGTCACGTGCACGGACGTCATGTGCACGTCCAAGGACTGCAGCATCGACGAAGCCACCAACTTGCCAGAGCAGGGATGCACCTTCTACCCGAACTCCATACAGAAGACGAACGTATCCTATATGAGTCTGCAGTGGCTGGATAATGTGAGGAGGCCAGCTCTGAGCCGTGCAGTCATTAATCATCACCATCATGGATCGTTGTCACTCGTCACCAGCATCATCATCATCATAAAAGCAGCAATAACAACAGCGTCACAATTTGTATGTGTCACATTCCATTGGTTTAAAGGAAGAAGTAGGATAAATACATTTTGGTTTAAAGCTTTCGTGACTGCCGAAAGAGCTAAGAATAGGATAAATAAGTTAACTTATTGAAATCAGGTGCCCTGTGTTTATTTGAAAAAGTAACATTCCAAAATGAAATTTCGACAACAGAATTCGTGTCGTTGTTTACGCATTGTTTTTTACGGCAGCCACCCAATTAGAACTGTGATTGGATGGAATCGTGTGGCTATTGTCAACTTAACGCGTATCCACTGAGTCGTTAAGTATTTTACGATAGGAACGTATACGTGAGAGTACTTATATATTTAATATAGCCTGTTAACAAGTAGGGTGAATTAATGTGCGTGCAGTGACTCCAGTTTCAGGCGGGCAGTGATCTCCGCCTTGGTTGTTGGAATTGCAGTTGACACGGAAAGGCCTTGAATTCATTAGAGCACGAGAGGGAAGTGAAGGTGATTTTGAATGCGCCAGTGGGTGCTGCTGAGCTGCCACAAAACTGATCTCCTGCGAGGCGGTGTGAAGCTCATGGTTGGAAAACCTGAGATGGGGATGGCTAGAAACTGGACCTGGATCCATGGTACTTCCCCGGATAGATTTAAACTATTTTTTTTTTATTTTACCAGGTACCAAGCTCACTGAGCTCTTTTTCAGCAGTGACCTGGCCACAAAGGATACCTCAGCGAAGTGGTTTATCACGCAAAAATGTATGGGTGCCAAATACTCTAAACGCGTGTTTCTAAAATGCGGGGGTGGGGGGGGGGGGAACCAGTGGACCCAGAGAAAAATCCACGCGACTACGGGAAGAACATGCAAACTCTAAATATACATCTTCTTGGTTCTTTCGGTAAAGTCACGTTAGAAGGGAAATAATACAAATAAAACATAATAAAATAAAATTCTCACCACGTTTTTATGTTTTATTTGTATTATTTCCCTTCTACGTGACTTTACCGAAAGAACCAAAAAGATGAATCCCTGCAGTCACGAAAGCTTTGAATCGAAATCTAAATCTACAGCCGAGTCAGGATTGAACCCACGACCTCCTGCATATCAGGCGAGGGAGATAACTTCTCGCCACCATGGCGCCCCATATACTCTTTGGAAGAACGTATTCATTGTAATCCTTGCAATTTATTTCCCAAATAATTTAACATTTAGTAGACGACGCTTATTAGAAACCCAGTAAGTGTTAAAAATACGTCCCGAAGCTCAAGCATGATAAAATAACCGGATGAGTGAAGCAATGCAAGTGTCCATGAAGCTATATTTTTTACAGAGATGAACACAAAACACTCTAAAACAATACACAAAGGCACTTTGTTGGTGGACAAGTAACAACAATGAAAACTACAACAATGGGATTGCTGCCGCGGCGCAGTGGTTAGCGTTCGATGTTATGCAATGAAATCCGGCAAACTGAGTGTGATTCCTGGCCATAGCTAAGATAAGTAGTGAGCGATATCCTGGTTCCCACCATTATTTCTATCAACCCACATTGACAGCTGTGGTGAAGTATGATCCAATGACCCCTGTGACCGACACAGCGCGGGGAGGGGCTGTAAATTAACACAATTATTTACAACAATGGCAAGTGTCTCTCATTTCTCAAGCAAAGCCACTCGAGACACTATTTTATTAATGTATTCATTCATTCGTCGACCAACGATCCAATCCAACGAGCTGATGGAAATATTGATGAAATTTTCGAATCAATTCAATTAAATTTGGATTTATAGAGCGTCTAAATGTGACGGGCGGTTGGGTGGGGGCATGCCCACGTTGAGAGCGGGGGGTGGGGGGAAAAAGAGGAATCATTGTTATTTGGTTATTTATGGAGGTGATATGTGGGAGGTGAGAAGGAAAATGCTTCATACGAAATGTGAACAATGCCGCCACTTGCTTAAATAAAATAAAAAAATAAAATATGTACCCTTATTCTCATTAACTGCATCGCAAAATGTGGGACGTGCAAATGTACAGCTCGTGCGTGGGTTTTATAAAGGACTTCCAAGTGCAAATGTCCCTTAATTTGATTGAGATAGGACAACTAAAACAAATATGATTAAGCTGTTTTATGCACCAAGCCACTGGCTTTGAGTGTAATATATATTCTTTAAGATGGTGGCTCTGAGTAGAATGAAAATTTCGTGATAACGGCTACGACTGTTATTCATAAATAGCAATTTGCAGATGGGTGAAGATATCAACAGGCTTTGTGATAAATACTGAATGAGATATTTAAATGATATTATATGTATGGAGTATTGACATTTTCACATGTAAAGCGCTTTGTGAATTTTCAATGAAAGGCACTATATAAAATAAGATGTTATTATTCTCATGATCCGTGGGTGGAAATTAAAACCAGGTCACTAGGTTAATGGTGCTGTACGCTAACTGCTGCACCACCACTCTTCCCTCCCCCCCCCCCCCCCACTATAATTATGACTGTGTTCTTTAATGAAAGTGAAAAATATTATCTAAAACAAAAAATTCTACATGGAAACTGCCTTGTGATAATATGGCAACACATATACAGTTTCCCTGGACAAATTATTATTATCTGATTGAGTGGAAAGTTGCCCACTTGTGGACTGTGATTGGCCCCTTCATTACAATATATCAATAATTACGCTCTAACAACTGAGACAGTGGAAAACTGTCGGTCTACCCACATGAAGTGGCCGTGCTCACACAGCCCGTGTCTCTCTCGGAGGCTTCGCTGGCGGTTCATAGTGGCGCCACGGTGGTGAGATGTTAACTACCTCGCATGGTATACAGGAGGTCGTGAGTTCGATCCAGACCCTGGCGTCTGTATATTTTGAGTGTGCGTGTGTCTCTCTTCCCGTGCCCGAGTGGATTTTTCTCCGGGACCTCCGGTTTTCCCCTCCACATTTATAAATGTGCGTATAGGCTATTTGGCTGCAATAAATTTCCACGCGATAAGCCACTTCGTTGAGCTACCATTTGTGGCCAGGTCGCTTCTGAAAAAGAGCTATATAGCTCAGTAGGCCTTACCTGGTAAGATAAAAATGGTTTAGTTTTTATTTCAGTGTCCTCTCCGTGTGTTAGCCTGGAACTGGCTTCATCATCTTACACAGCTGTGTACTCTCCGCCCATCACTCTTCTTTCTTTCCTCGTCTCCCTCTCTCTCTCTCTTTTCCCTCTCTCTTCTCTCTCTTCTGCTTCTCTTCCCAGCCCTAGATCACAACGAGGTTATTTTCTAGATCCATTGGTCTGCACCGAATGCGACAATCCCTTGTACCCCAATTCTATTTTTCTGCACTTACATTAATAAATGTATAAATAAAATAAAATAGAAAAATGTCCTCCCTTTCATATTTCAATATAAACCATTGGTGTTCAAAATGTTAAATGAACAACAGCAAAACAAACTGAACACCTTCGTCAATGTATGTATGTTGAACTTCTTTTCCACTGTATGTAGCCAA